CAGGAGGGGCTTAGACGAGCAGCTCAAATTGTTGTATGGGGTGAGAACGGAAGTTGAGCGGGTGGCGCAGCGGGGTCGATCCGAGTTCGCTGCTGCCCTCAAGGAAATGGATACCGTCGGTGAGCGGCTGACGCAAACGTTGGACATGCTACGCGACACGCCTGTAGAATCCGCATTTAGACCTGCGGGAGAGGAATCGAAATCCTTATATGATTTTGTCGATGATCGCGGCGTGGAAGATCTCCAGTTGTTGTTAAAGGCCTCGATTGACAATACTAACGCCGCACAAGCTGAACTAGACCAATCTAACCGCGCATTCGACAATGATATCCATTCGATCCACCAAGCTTTGAGCAAATATCGTGATGCAGTTAAGAAGCGCTTAAGCTTGTCATCATCATTGTCTTCCTCATCACCCTCTGCATCGCGAGTCAGCATTCCATCTCCTTCCCATGTTCCGGAGCTTTTACGTTCCCTTGAGGCGCACGCCCGGGGGATGGCTGACCTCCTGGAATCCTTGGTTAGGCATTTTGACCTGTGTGTAACGGCAGTAAAGCATACTGAAGGCGGCGGTGCCGCTGCTCGCTCCATCACCGGCGACCTACCAACTGGCGTTGGCGTAGGGGTCACTTTTGGGAATGAAATCCAAGATGACAATGGAAGTCGCACCCTCAATGCACCTCTCGAACCAATGACAAATGCAGAATACCAAGAAATGATAAGCGTGTTAACAAAAGACGCATCTGAGGCGGAAGACGTCGTCTTAGAAATCCAAGATCGTATCGCGGAGATGGAAACAACTCTTGAACGGGTGTTGGAGCAGCGTGATTTGTTTCGTTCTGTGTACGCATCGACGACGGATATCTTCCATCGTCTATCAACATTAGCTTCATCACAGCTAACAGATTACATCGCCCAAGCGCACGCTTTTACTCGTGTCTGGAACGAGGAGCAGGAGCATATCCAGGCGGGCATGGCTGAGCTCGTCGATCTTCGTAATCTCTACGCTGGCTTCCTCAACGCTTATGACAGACTTATCATGGAAGTTACACGCCGTAAAGCTGTCCGCTTGGCTGTTGACAAGGTCCTCGGGGAAACGAGGCGGGAACTCGATAGGCTATTCGAGGAGGATGTCCGGGCCCGTGAGATGTTTAGGACAGAATATGGAGACTACTTGCCATCAGATATCTGGCCTGGCCTTGGTCGATGTCCTGCTCGGGTGGAGTTTAAAAGAGTATCTGGCGGGAAACTAGATGTTGGCGGGGAAGCTGTTCACATACCTACAGAGAAACAGGATGCTGAAAGGAAGGACGAGGCTGAGGATAGCAATGGTAATGCGGTTGAGGGTGCTGCCGCCGACATACCTTTAACCGCCGGACATGATAATACTACTCCTGTGATTGCTACTGGAAATGATTATGGCACCGGTGGAGTCGACGATAGTATACCGCAGTTGCCGAAACATGTTGTCCAACAAGCTCTTGCACGGTTAAAACTACAAGTCAAGACTGTCCCTGGACTGTCCCCGTCATGACTTGATGGCATTTAGCAAAGGAGGAGATATTATACAATTTTACTCTGCATTTGAACTTGGATTGAGTATATATCATATAGATATCGCACTAAATTATTACGCGGTCTAACTGGATACGTGCTTACAGTCTTTGGAAATTGTCAGGACTAGTCACATGGCTCCCTTCCAAACTGTGCAGCATCTTTTCGCACCAACTTCCCTCACCAATTTCTTCAGCAATTCAAAGTATCAAAAAGAGAGCGCCAATCAACCAGCAAGGTTTTAGAAAACTGCGAATATTTCATCCGCCGTCGTTTATTCAGTGGGCAAAGTTAATGTCAGCTTCACACTCCCACCTCAAAGGCTAGATTGCCTTGTTACTTCCTACCCCCTCTGCTCTCGCCACGCAAGCCGCTTTTACACCCAATTTCTTCTCCCTGTGCTCGAATAACTACACGTCATTGAATACTCTAAGGCCGCCGAGTGCGTGGAAATTACAACTGAACGAAAACCCAAATGATGAAAGCAACAAAAAACAAGACGGCCATTGTTTTATTTTTCTAGATAAAAACAAATTTTGGCTCCGACCCTTCTCGAAGAAAAAAAAAAAGCAAAGAAGAAAAGAAAAATGGATCGCAATCTTGAGCATTGAAAAATCTATTCATCCCTCGCATTTCTCCTAGTGTTGTGTGGTTGTCTTTCAGTCCACTGACGTTACATGTATGTATGAGCATGCATCAGTTAGTTGGCAGAGGCTAGTATACCTATGTTTTCGTCGCCGCGGAACATAGTGTATTTCGTCCTTTTGTCGAGAGAGATTTGATTAAACTGGGAGAATATAGAGGGGGATGAGGTGATTGTGAGGCTAATATTTTGCGGCCATTTTCATTTCTTTCTTTATTTTTTATTTTTTGATCTGATGGGGGGGGAATGAGGACCAAAGAGAGCTCTGATGGGTTTCCATGCTTTTTTTTTTTTTTTTTTTTTGGGCAGCTGATTTTTGAAATGCCCTGAATGCTTCGGCGATTTTAAAGTAAACTGGGATGTGCTGTGCATAAATTCTTCTGCACTAGAAGCTATTCCTGTTAGGTTGCTGGCGGTAGCACACCTGTGTTCATAGATTCTCCAGCTATTATTCGCTGTATTTTACAAGCTGGTTGGAGGAGTGTGATAATATATTTGAAACTGACTACTAGGTCACTACGTCCTAGCCTGAATGCTAAGTGCGTGAAAAAGAGTATTATTGTAATTCAAGGGCATAAGAATCAGCATACATCATCTAATGCGTCGCATTCATGTTAATGTCATCAATCATCATCCAAAACCAGTTCCATAGCGGACACAGGAATCCAAACCACTTCTTTCAATAGTAGGAGGAACAAGATATCAAAAAGAAAAGGAAAATGCACTACTTCATTTCCTCTTCGATGCATTGACAAGCTTCTTCTTAATATGCTTCGGAATCTTCTTGGTTCGCTGTTCGCGCTTCTCCTCTTTCACAAGCCGTTTATGGTCCCTCTTCGCCTCCTTATCCTCGAACCGCTTTCCCCTAGGAGCTTTTTTTGCAAACGGATCCGTGTCTTCAGCCTGAGAGCCAGACTCGGACTCATCACCCGATATGGAAATGCCTCCGGATTCGTCTGATCTTTCTTCTTCCGCTTCGCCATTCGCAGCAACCAGTGAGTGCCGGGTTGTAGTCGTGATGCCGCCTTTGTTTGCCAGCAGTTCACGATATACTAGGTCCTGACCCTGTCCTTTACGGAGTTTCTCCACATCACGCTCCACGTCATATACCTGCTCAAGCGTCTGGGGAATAAATTGTTGGCGGAAAACAGCTGTGTCGACTTCAGCTTCCGCACTGGTATCAGCATTAGCATGTCCCTCGTTTTCCATCTGTGCTCGAGTCACAAACAACTTTTCCAATACTTCTGACATATTTCTGGAGCCTGGGGAAGCTTTTGGTCCATCATTAGCCGTAATAAATTCGAATACAGCCATCTCCGAAAGGGTGTGAACTCCCTTTCGTTGGAAGAAATCCGTGACGTTCTTGATGTCCATACGGAGGAACTCCAAGCTGCGGGGGTGGTCGTGTTCAACGCTCTGGCTGACGTCAATGATGTAGAGCTTGTTTTCATGGTAGAGGATATTGTACTCGCTTAGATCTGCGTGTACTAATCGGCACTCCTGATACATTGTGCGCATATGGCCGAGGAGCTCGATGTAGAGAGCTCTCCACTGTTCCTCGGGATCCGGTCCGGTAAGGTCCACATCCTTTAATCGCGGAGCTGCAAATCCTTTAGAGTTTCCGAGAAACCCCATGACTAAAACGTGAAGTCGGAGATAGAGGGGTTCAGGACATGGTATGCCTGCGGCGTAAAGGCGCTTTAGATTTCGCATCTCCTTTTCCGCCCACACTTTGACCATTGCTCGGTTGTTGGACTTGTTGTAGCCCTGCCTGAATCTAAATTCCCCACTGACATATTTGTCACGGTCCTTGAAAACTAATATGCTAGTTTTATAGACCTTGATAGCGCGTTGGAGTGGCTCACCATCGTCATCTGGGTAGGACACGGCGTGGTAAACATTAGCCTCTTTACCTGTAGAAAGACACCCGTTGACCTCGGACACCACATTCCTGTTGATCATCTGCAGCAAGATCATACGGGTTCTAGGGTCCAACACCTGCTCTGATGTTGCGCGGTCACTTTTATCTGCCCCTCTATCGCCCTTCCCTCCCAGGCCTGACTGGAGGTCATCTAGCCGTAGTTTTGCGGCATGTCGCGAGAGAGAAGAAATCTGGTCGTCGACATTCGCCTGCGTATTAATTGTGGGTTTCTGAGGGTTGCTTTTGGGGTATTTTGATTTAGGAGCGTTTGGATCGGCAGCGACTTCTTTCAGCCGGCGTTGTCTATTGTAGGATTTTGTAAAGTCCGCTGGATTGGAGGACATGAATTCGTTTTCATCAAGGTCTTCATCTGCAAAAATATCATCAAAGTATTCCTCATCCTCTTTGTCTTCCACACCCGGTTGTGGCGGGGTTTGTTCTTCTGCTGGATCCAAAGAAGCTGGAAGGTCCTTTGCACCAGGCACCGTCACCATCGAATTTGCAGGCATAATGAAAAAAAAAAAAACAAAAGCGTGCAAATTACGAGCCCTTTAGTTTATTGGGCAACGTACGTTCTTTTACCCCAAGTTCAAAATTTATGCCATTTCAGATTTGCGCCAGCAAAATAATAATTTTTATAGACGCTAAATCGTTAGCCCGGTTCCGCCCCTCCAACTAGCCCTAATACCAAATCGGGAACGCGTCCAGGTCACCTTCACCCAACTCCAACGCGTTTCCCACGGCGGCGCAACGGGCAACTTGTCAGCTCTTGCCATCGCAGTGACCCGTTTCTTTGCCCATACGTGTCGCACGGTGTTTCCGCAACATTATAATACGCTCTTTGCCTTGGAGCGGGAGGAGACGTGAATCCCCAAGCTCAAGATGTATATCAAACAGATCATCATTCAAGGCTTTAAAAGGTGAGTAGGTGAGCGCTCTGTCGATAGCGATTGAACTATGAGCTGAGAATCTCTGGCGAACTATCTAGCTACAAAGATCAGACGGTTATCGAACCGTTCTCCCCCAAGCACAATGTCATTGTAGGACGTAATGGATCCGGGAAGAGTAACTTCTTCGCCGCGATTCGATTCGTACTTAGCGACGCATATACTCATATGGGGAGGGAGGAACGGCAGGCGTTGCTACATGTACGAAAACCCAAGCCCATCCAATTAATTGTGGGTCGTTTATCAACTGACAGCATACAGGAGGGCTCTGGTTCTGCAGTAATGTCGGCCTACGTCGAAATCATATTCGACAACTCTGACGAACGATTCCCTACTGGCAAGAAAGAACTAATCCTACGCCGGACCATTGGTACAAAGAAGGATGAATATACTCTGGACCGCAAAAATGCGACCAAATCTGATGTGATGAACTTACTCGAATCGGCCGGCTTCTCGCGATCGAACCCTTACTACATTGTTCCGCAGGGTCGCGTCACAACTCTGACAAACATGAAAGACTCAGAGCGTTTAGTTCTTTTAAAGGAAGTGGCAGGTACGCAGGTATATGAGGCGCGTCGCGCAGAATCATTGAAGATCATGAATGAAACGAACAATAAGAGGGCGAAAATCGACGAGTCACTCGACTATATAAACGAGCGGCTTGCAGAGCTAGAAGAAGAAAAAGATGAACTAAAAAACTACCAAGAGAAAGATAGAGAGCGTCGCTGTCTCGAATATACGATTTATTCGCGGGAGCAGGCTGAAATTGCCTCCGCTCTCGAGAACATTGAAGGCCAACGACAAACAGGAGTTGAGGATACAGATGCAAATCGCAACCGATTTATTCAGAGCGAAAATGACATCGCACAGATAGACGCGGAAATTTCAGAGTTGAAACAGGCAGTAGAACTTCTCAAAGTGGAAAAGACGCAAATAGAGGAGGATCGCCGCGACGTATCGCGAGTACTGGCACAGGCTGAACTGCGGGCGAAATCCCTTTCCGAGGGACAATCAGCTGCACAGCGAGCTAAAGCCCGTCATGATGCGAATTTGAAGACGGTGCAAACAGCGATCAAGGAACGCGAAAAGGAGCTCAGCAAGCTCCTTCCAGAGTTTGAGGCGAAGCAGAAGCAAGAAGAAGAGGTGAAAGCGAAGTTGGACGAAGCAGAAACGGCGAGACAGCGTCTGTACGCAAAACAAGGGCGCAATTCCAAATTCAGAAATAAATCGGAACGAGATAAATGGCTTCAACGGGAAATCCAAGACACCTATACGTCACTTTCAACAGTCAAGGCTGTAAGGATGCAAACGGAAGAAGAAATCAAGCAACTCGTAAATGATATTGCTCTCCTCGAGCCCGAGATCGAAAAGTTGCGTAAGCAACTCGATGGTAGAGGCAATGCTTTACAGTCGATGGAGCAAGAGGTCCAGGGTGCAAAGGATGAAAGAGATCGACTAATGGACCAGAGAAAGTATGTTAACCAAGTTCATCAATTTTCTGTATTTCAAGAAAATATATTAATAAACAAGTAGGGAACTGTGGAGAGAAGAAGCACGTCTCGATTCCATCATATCCAATGCCTCTCAGGAACTAGACCGTGCAGAGAGGAACGTATCTCATATGATGGATCATAATACAAGCCGGGGCCTTGCCGCTGTCCGCCGGATTAAAAGACAACTTAGCCTTGAAGGTGCATACGGGACTGTTGCTGAGCTTCTTGACGTCAATGAAAGGTACCGCACTGCTGTCGAAGTAACCGCCGGTCAGAGCCTTTTTCATTATGTTGTCGACACAGACGAAACTGCAACGAAGGTATTGGAGGTGCTACAAAAAGAAAAGTTGGGACGAGTCACATTTATGCCACTGAATCGACTGAAACCCAAACCCGCAAATGTACCACGTGCCAGCGACACCATCCCGATTATCGAAAAGTTGGTGTACGATAAAACATTCGAAAAGGCATTCCAGCAAATTTTTGGCAAGACTATCATTTGTCCCAATCTTCAAGTCGCCGCACAATATGCTCGGAGTCATGGCGTCAATGCCATCACTCCGGAAGGCGATCGGTCGGACAAACGAGGGGCATTGACTGGCGGTTTCCACGACTCTCGCCAATCTCGCCTTGAAGGTCTGAAGGTTGTTACCAAATGGCGAGATGAGGTCGAATCCAAGCGGAACCGGGGTGTCGAGATCAGAAGGGAGCTCGAAAAAATGGATCAATTGATTACTAGAGCTGTAGGGGAGCTGCAAAAGCTCGAACAGAGGAGACAACAGTTGCAAAGCAGCAACATCCCACTACGTCAAGAGATTAAGAGCAAGCGTGACATGCATCAGAACAAGATGGATACTCTGGAAGCAAAACAACGTGCCCTCCGAAACATGGAGGCTAATGTTAAAACATTGAGTGATCAAATAACTGCCCACGAAGAAGAACTATCGACACATTTTGAGAAAGCCCTCACAAATGCGGAAGAGGCGAGACTTGAATCCCTCAATTCGACTGTCCAAGAACTAAGAAGTCAACATTCAGAGCTATCCAGTAGCCGCAGCGAACTTGAAACCAGCAAATCTGTCATTGAAGTTGAGTTACGTGAAAACTTAAACCCGAAACTAGATCAGTTGATTGGCCACGAACTTGAAACTGGCGGTGATAGCACACATGGGAATCTCAAGGAGAGCCAACGGGAAATTGATCGTCATAGAAAATTTCTAGACTCACTCGATCTCCGTCTCGAGAAACTGGAGGAATCCATGGAATCAGGATTGGCCGATCTGTCTAAGCTAGAACAACGCAAGGCTGATATCAAACGAGAACTAGAAGACCTAGCTAGGTCTATGGAAAAGCATCAACGACGCATGGAAAAAAGTATGCAGAAGAAAGCTGCGTTGACAAAGCAAGCAGCCGAATGTAGTGCAAACATTCGCGATCTTGGCGTCCTCCCTGACGATGCTTTTACAAAATTCAAGAACACAGACTCCAATACAGTGGTCAAACGCCTGCACAAAGTCAATGAAGCGCTGAAGAAGTATTCGCATGTCAACAAACAAGCCTTTGAACAGTATAACGGTTTCACGAAACAGCGAGAAACATTGACAAAACGACGAGAAGAACTTGACTCTTCCCAAAAATCAATTGAAGAGCTGATTACAGTTCTGGATCATCGCAAGGACGCAGCCATCGAACTGACCTTCAAGCAGGTATCGCGTGAGTTTGCCCAGATTTTCGAGAAACTAGTCCCAGCAGGCCGAGGTCGTTTGATTATCCAACGCAAGACGGATCGTAGAAATCAGCAAGAAGATGAGCTGGATTCCGATGAAGAGGAAGCACGGAATAGTGTGGAGAACTATGTTGGCGTTGGCATCAGTGTGAGCTTCAACAGCAAGCATGACGACCAGCAGCGCATCCAACAACTCAGTGGAGGACAAAAGAGTAAGTGCTATAGATGAATCCCCCTTCCTTACCCCTTCAAAAGCGCCTTTCGTTCGGGCAAAACTCAATATTTAACCCGAAAACCAAAAAAACAACAGGTCTTTGCGCTTTGGCCCTTGTTTTTGCCATCCAAGCTTGCGACCCAGCTCCCTTCTACCTCTTCGATGAGATCGACGCGAACCTTGATGCGCAGTACCGGACTGCTGTGGCACAGATGCTCAAGTCCATCGCTGAAGAGACCAACGGCCAATTTATCTGCACGACATTCCGACCGGAGATGCTTCTCGTTGCAGAAAAGTGCTATGGTGTCAGTTTCCGCCATAAAGCTAGTTCCATTGACGTAGTATCGAGGGACGAGGCGCTAAAGTTTGTGGAGGAGCAAAAGTCATAAGAAAGGCATATATTCCATCAGCAGAGTTGCACCTTATCATACGTGTAATCTTCCCTGCGTTTTTCCTTGATTGTGGATGGCTTGGAGTTCTGGCAGATTGGTTCTCACTTTTATGGCTACGGTGTAACGGTTGTTTATCCCTATGTTTTTTTTCCACTGTTAGTCTCCAATGTATTGCCTCTTTTCTACCAGTCCCCTTCTCGACCATTTTGTGGGACGGTTCAGCCTATTTCAGGTGATTGTCATTGTGCTTTCTTACGTCTTCTGAGATACATTACATCTTCTCGTCAATTGTTCTTTTATTTATTTGCTCCGTAGCAGTTGCCGGCCTTTTTCTTGATTTTACCCCTTGATTTGTTCTGTAATTTATTTCTCGATAAGAACTGAGATGTCCTCACATGTAACTCAAGCTACTCTCTTTTCCTATCAATTCTACGGTAATAAGCGTGAAATATCAATATCAAATGCTGTAAGAAGCGAAATCGATTCCCATTAAAAATATAAATTGGTAATCAATGCACTCTTCGAGGAGCGGGTAGTTTGGCGGGATAAGCGGGCGGATAGGCAGTGTGGATGTGGACGGTAAGTACGGAGTAGAAACCACTCAATCGAGCCCATTAACGAATAACCGGAAAGAGGTAACTGGCAATCAATTCTGACAGGTCTAGGTATTAAAGAAGCAACCCTGAAGCGTCAAACCGACCAGGACTTTCCCTGGCCCTAACATAATGTGAAACAGCTGGTGCACACACTCTAAGTTCTTGCATGTTCTCCAGTCCACTCAGTAATAATCTCATCAGGGACATCCCGTACAACGACATGGACATGCTCAACCGCTCTCACGCTCTGTAGGGATGTCCAATTCTTGAACCACAAAACCCTATCTTTCGCATCACGAAAGAGCTTCTCAAGCCTAGCAACAAACGTTCGCATAACAAAATCATTAATGAGGGTACGCGATTCCTCAGTCATATCCCCGCTGTCTTCCCTAACAGGGATACTATTTTTGAGCCATATCACTAGATGCGTGATATCTGAAGTGACGCCGTAGGGCCAGTCATTGCGCAGGATCTTGTAATCACTGGGATCTGCAAAAGGAATTGGGTTTCGGCACTGAAAGGCCTGAGGAGTAGAACTATCAAGCTGCCATCGCAGCCGCTCCTTACAGATGTAATTTGTGATCGATCCGTACTGCGCCTTAATGTCCGTGGTCCATGCGATGTAGCGCCGTAGGTCACTGGGCTTGCGCCTGAATACTTCAAGGTTATTTGCGGCTAGGATGAGTTAGCGACGAGGGATTCCTTGGTTTTCCTTCAACGGAAAATGGCTTCGTGGTGGCGACGGACCTATGATGCTCTTGAGATCAGCCCAATCGTGATAGACGAACTCATCATCCGTCTGAGAGAGGACATGGCGGTCAACATCAGTGAGATTGAAGGGGGAGGATGTCGGGTTAAGAGGCTGAGGAGGTACATCTCCCATGTTTCTCAGGTGTATTAATGGGTGTAGGATTTAGCCCAATTGATCTCGAATTTGAAATGGACAAAGAAAACGAAGGCAATATTGCTAGAGAGGGGCAGAGGTTCGTCAACGTTGCCAGGAGTGGCATTTTGGCCATGGTGCGTGTTCTTGCATCCTTGGTTGTCTGGTTAAGGTTACTAGGCACTGAGCCTTACCCGAATCACAGACTAAGCTTAGCCTTAAATTTTCCCACGGCGACGTTCGCAAACCAAGGTCTTCTATTATCACTAGAGATAAATCGTACTTAACTTTACTATAGTTATTTGGTATTTTTCATTGAATTGATTGTAAAATAATCCGCGGGCTTGAAGTAGTTACTAGAACTCGTTGTAAATATTCCCAGTTCACAAACTAGATCGCAGGGTGGAAGTAGATAACCGCTCCTGGCCCCTATTCAATTATGAGCCTAATTCTCAGCCCAAAGAATTGCATCTTGTGTGCATTTTTCGTTGTCAAATCAGTATATGCACCTTTAAAGGCTATTTTAATTGTTAGTCTCTGCCAAAGATGCCTTCTATACCATCGAAACTTATTGCAACTCGTCTGTCCCACTTTGTAAAAGTTCAAATGAATAGAAGATGCCAAACAGCCTCCAGGATAAACTCCAGGCTCATTTTGACTCGACGCTCCAGAGGCCCTAATCCGTCTGTTAAAAACCACATAATTTCTAGTTACCACCACATCTGCGCTCCTCCCAAACGTAAGACGGTGATGAAATTTCGGAGGATTTTAGTCCTTCAAACAGTTTTCTGGTATTCAATGGCAATGTTGCTAGTATTCTCCAATACTGTGTAAACAAATTCGGACAATAAGTTCAACTTGCATATGAGCGTAGAAGGTTAAGTAAAGAGGCGCTAAACCCTATGCGCCTAAGGAGCTCGGCGCACAACTTCAATGCGTAACGCCACATTTCTCACCATTTTCCTCCAGAGCAAGTTCAGTCAAACAACTCCAAGCGCCATTCTTCTCCTTAAACACCCCCGCCCCGCCCATTTGTTCTGTTGCAAGATACTTCCCGTTGTCTCCGTCGGGGTCCCTGAGGGTGTTTAGCTATGAGGTGAGATCTCAGTCCCTCTTCAATTTCTTCATAGTCTCACTTGGAAAATTGACTCCTTTTTTCTGCTTGCACCATAGTTCCTGGACTTCAAGCGAAGCAATCAACGGCATGTATATCCCGTCCGCTCTCCTGATTTTCGGTACTGCCATTGTGAAGAAGGAATGGCTTCCCTACGCAGCAGCGCTCGCCGCGATTTTGTCAGGGTGGAAAGTGTTTAGCAACAGTGAGATAGAATTCCCCTTTTCAGTATCTGGCATGCAGACCCCAGCTTTTCCTGGGCATTGGTGACATTGAAGCCTAACAATGATTTTTTTCCCCTTGTTTTTTCTACAGGACAACGGAAGGTTCTCAATCCCACCGAATTCCAAAACTTTGAATTGAAAGAGAAAACCATCGTCTCTCACAATGTCGCCATCTACCGCTTCGCCCTCCCGCGCCCAACAGATATCCTTGGTTTACCCATTGGTCAACATATTTCTCTCGCTGCAACTATCGAGGGTCAGACAAAAGAAATCATGCGATCTTATACCCCTATCTCTTCGGACCAGGAAGCAGGTTATTTCGACCTTCTTGTCAAGGCATATCCTCAAGGAAACATCTCGAAACATCTTGCTGGCTTGCGCATTGGCCAAACTATGAAGGTTCGAGGTCCGAAAGGAGCTATGGTTTATACCCCCAACATGGTTAAAAAAATTGGTATGATCGCTGGCGGCACCGGCATTACGCCAATGCTCCAAATCATTAAAGCTATTATCCGAGGAAGGCCGCGGAACGGAGGCAACGACACTACCCAGGTTGATCTGATATTTGCCAACGTCAACCCGGATGACATCCTCCTAAAAGATGAACTGGACCAGTTGGCGAAGGAGGATGATGGATTCCGAGTTTTCTATGTATTAAACAACCCACCAGAGGGCTGGGAAGGTGGCGTTGGCTTCGTTACTCCAGATATGATCAGGGTCAGTCTCAAGCTGTTGGTGCTCTAGGATTTTGTCCCTCGGTTTCTTCAACATTTGCTTAACTAAATACTTTTCTTTTTTTTAGGCCAAACTCCCCGCTGCCGCGCCCGATACAAAGGTCTTGATCTGTGGACCACCTCCCATGGTTAGCGCCATGAAGAAAGCAACTGAGTCCCTGGGATTCAAGAAGGCTGGACTCGTCAGCAAACTAGAGGACCAGGTATTTTGCTTTTAGTCACCAGATGTACGGGATTGGATTCGGCCCCTGGCAGTGGAGTGATGGAGTTCTTTGGCGACTGTTAGGAATTGTGTCGTACCCTCATAGCTTTTCTCTCTTCAATTTGAGCGCATGGCATTGATCCTGTTTTTGGAAACTTGCAATAGAATGGGGGAGTCTTGATCTTAGATCTAGCGCTGATGATCGCTTCTGGGAAGCAGGAATTCAACACAAAAGTTACTAGTACTAGTACATATAGGAGAGTGTGGATAATTGACATACGAATAGCCAATTATAATACCCCCGTTATACCTGTGTCATTTAAGATTCTATGGAATTTTATTATGCTGCTTATCATAAATACATACCGCAAGGTAGAATTCCAAATTCACAATCCTTGTCTGATATTAAATATTCTGCCCGTATCAGTCATTCACCGCCTTCCCCACTGTAACTTTTCGAGCCCGCAAGTCTAAAGAAAAGTTGCGAGACAAAACCCAAAGACGGTTCAAGAATAAACCCCAAGAACTAGCGTATATGCGCCAGCCAATTTTTTACGGCGCATTCTTCATTCCGAAATCTATATTTCAACCGTACCCTGCCCCGGTGCTTAACAAGGTAGTTCGGTTTTCTATCCTCCGATTGAACTGCTCACCCTTGCCGAAACACCGTGCCCTCTCTTCCAGCACACCCCGCGATACTTCCTTTTCACCACAGAACCAGCATCAACGCTCCCGTACAGCCATGGCGGCAGATTCGGCGCCCACCGTGGCCCAGCTTTCAATTCACTCTACCACGAGTGAGGTGTCCAAGTATCCAAATTGCTACCCCGCTGTTAACCCCGTCGACACATACCGCGTGCATGTTGCGGAGCTCGTAGGGGCGGCGCTTGGGATTGATTCTCTGTCTGTGTACCCCAAAATACAATGGACAAACTCTCTAGATAAAGGAGATTTAGTTCTAGCGGTATGGCTTGCGCACATCCTAGCAATCAAAAATATATCTTGACCTGGCTCTCGTAGCTAATTTTTATTTTTCTATTTTCTGCTTGATTGCCCTCCTACTCTAGGTCCCCGCTCTACAAATTAAAGGCAAGAAGCCAGCAGAAGTTACGGCACAGATTGTGGAAAACCTTCCTCCATCAGACCTCATTGGCACACCTGTTGTCTCAGGCACACATATACAGTTCTACTTCAAACCAGAACCCCTCACAAAAACCGTTATCAGCTCCATTCTGAAGAACAGAGCAACGTATGGCACAAACGCGAACGTCGGCCTTCGGGATCCTGCTGACCCGTCAAAGGGCAAGAAGAAAATTATTGTCGAGTTTTCATCTCCCAATATCGCGAAGCCGTTCCATGCTGGCCATCTCCGAAGTACGATTATCGGAGGCTTCTTGGCCAACCTCTACACTGTGATGGGATGGGATGTGATCAAAATGAATTATCTTGGTGATTGGGGGAAGCAATACGGTCTCCTGGCAAACGGTTATGAAAAGTATGGAAATGAGGAGGAGCTGATTAAGGATCCTATTAATCACTTGTTTGATGTCTATGTTAAAATCAACAAGGACGTGGCCGAGCAGGAGGTTCCCATTAAGGAACTCAAAGAGCAGATTAAGCAAAAGAAAGAAAATAGTGAGGATACCACTGAGTTGGAGAAGGAGCTGCAAGCCAAGGTTGATGTCAGCTATGATGAAAAGGCGCGTCGGTATTTCAAGAGCATGGAAGACGGTGATGAAGGAGCCCTCGTGCTCTGGAGACGATTCCGCGACTTGAGTATTGAGAAGTACAAGGAAACCTATGCCCGCCTCAATATCGACTTCGATCGCTACTCCGGTGAATCGCAAGTTAAGCCTGAAAGTCTTGCCAAGGCATATGAGGCCATGGCAAAAACGGGAGTCTCAGAGGAGTCTGAGGGCGCTGTGATTGTCGATTTTGCTAAGCATGGGGCGAAGAAATTGGGCAAAGCGATTGTGGTTCGAAAGGATGGCACACCCCTGTACCTGACTCGAGATATTGCAGCCATTGTCGAGCGAGATGAAGAATTCCACTTCGACAAAATGCTCTACGTCGTTGCCGCCCAGCAGGATCTCCATCTCGCGCAGCTATTCAAGGTCACCGAGCTTGTGGGTCGGAAAGATCTAGCGAACCGATGCCAGCATGTCAATTTCGGTATGGTTCGGGGAATGAGCACTCGTAAGGGTACAGTTAAATTCCTCAACGATATCCTCAAGGACGTTGGCGAGAAGATGCACGAGGTGATGAAGAAAAACACTGCCAAGTACGAACAGGTTGCGAATCCTGAACAGACAGCTGATATCTTGGGAATCACGTCGGTGATGGTCCAGGATATGAGCGGTAAGCGGTATGTCGATAAACATCCCCCTCATCCCTCAATATTGTTTTTCAAAAGAGGAAAACTCGCTTAAATTCCCCTCTCGTACCTACCTCCTAACATACCAGTAATCCACAGAATCAACGGCTACGAGTTCAACCTAGATGACATGACATCCTTCGAAGGCGACACTGGCCCATATCTCCAATACGCCCACGCTCGCCTCTGCTCCATGACCCGCAAAGCCGAAATTGACCCTTCCGAGCTGAGCTCCGCGAACCTCAGCCTCCTCACCGAGCCCCATGCGATCGACCTGATCCGGCTACTCGCGTCCTGGCCGGACGTCGTGTTCAACACGACCAAGACGCTCGAGCCCACGACTGTCCTTACGTACCTTTTCAGAATGACGCACGTGCTTAGCTCGGGCTATGATGTGTTGAAGGTTGTTGGGAGCGAGCCTGAGCTGAAGAAGGCGCGTATGGCGATGTATGACTGTGCGAGACAGGTATTGCATAACGGGATGCGGTTGTTAGGGTTGAATCCAGTGGAGCGGTAAGATTTTTTGCATCACACACCCTTTTCCCGCTGCCCCTTCTGTCACGCCATAGTTATGTTCTTCCCAAGATGATAACATATATATATATATTTGCCTTTGCTAATTGACATCCTTTCAGAATGTGATCCCCCTATTTCTTCCGCCCATTCCTGGCACATTTCCGGGTAGCGACCTCGCTCTCAAAGAAACGGAAGGCGGAGGCAAAGAAGTGCAAACAAACCAAAAAACACAAGAGCGTCTTTCCTCCCTCCCGAAGTTACCAGTATAGCTAAATTATCGGCTCGCGGCTCCTATTATCTTATTATCTTGCTCTAGCATTTTTTCTGTCTAATCTTGCATCCTTCTCACCCGTGCAGTTCATATTACTCATCGCAGCTACTAGCTAGTAGTTATACTAGAAGGATTATCAAGCTAGACGAAGAAAAAGATATCACCCATCTCAAACGTTATCCCAAGTTCCGCTACCTGCTGTAAACTTTCGTGAAAGCTGCCGAATCATCGAGCCGTAGAATTCCCCTCGGAGGTAATTAATATTCGAGAGACACCCGGCCAGACCTTTAATTATAGCCACACCGTCCAGCTGGCTTGCAGAAAGCATTTAACCTGCGTTGAAACGACGCCCATTTGTCACAGATGCATACATAAGCTAGAATAACTGCTAGTTACATACTAACTACATATCAAATAGGTCTCCAAGAATGCGCTCAGGGCATGTCTGGGGGACTCCATTTCTAAAGTCTTGCCCCTGGGTCTGGTTAATACTAGTAGGCACCTGGCTGGATACAGGACACAGCACCCAGGCTCTGGTATTGAACTTATCCAATCCAATCCAGTCAATCCTCTCACCTAACCTACCATCCTTACCCTAGGCTTTACGCGTTGGATAGTATCTTGATGGGTGTGGTGCGATAGATAGATCGCTGAATGCAGGCAACGGCGAACCCATCGACATTGGATATCAATAAGCGCGGCCTTTTTTTCTGTAACGGCTGTCGCATATGATCTCACCCCCCGCACTCCCTCAACTACAGGAGAGTCGGAAAGACAATGTTTTTTCTGGGAGGCCCCCTGCGAATCGTGGCGCTGGAGAGCGCATTCTTTGCCAGCCAGCCAGCCAGCCCGCCAAGAACAGCAGCCATGAAAAAATGCGGAATGTGGGCGAATGTGAGCGAATGTTGGGTTGCCGTCTCCTTGGGCCTCTGGTGTCTTTTTTGCAACAATTTTTTCGCAATTTTTCAACTTTTTGTCAAACTGCCCTGCCCTCCCCCTCCCACCATTGCGGCCCAATGGTGTGCTAGATCGCCCATCCCTGCCGGGTGCTGGAGAGTGTCAGCAGGGATGATGACGAGCAATTCCTCCTCCGATTTTGCGCTGCGGGAGCTGGATCTGGCTTTTTGGCGGCATTGGGGGAATCCCATGATTCATCTCGGATTCCAGTGTGTCAGTCAATCAGTGGGGTGGGATGGCGGGAGGGGGGATACTGATCGGGGTTAGTAGCGAAGAATTGAGTGGGCATATATACGCTACATTTTTTAAACATGCTTTTAGAAAAGTCACCGAGCCGACCATTTTTATTTTATTTTTCTATTTTCCTATATATTTTTGTCGAGATCTAGTTTAACTATCCCACCAACAAGACCAGCGCAGCCGTTCTTCTCCCTGCTGGATGCTAGTATCCTGCATATCCAACTGCCCGTGATCCGTGATCTGCGATCCAAGATCCATTCCACAATACAAGTACTAGTACTTTTCATGTTGTCTTCCATGCTCACATAGAGTGGCTGGTGAGAATGCTGATGTGCAGGCACAGCTGCTACGGGGGATATGATCTCTGAAGCATGGCCGATAAATCATGATCCTCCATATTTCCAGATCCCTCCCCACGGCCCTCCATGATTCTCTTCCGCACCCCCAAAGAGACAATGAATGCATCCCATCTCGAAACCCATCCGGGCTCCAAAAGCGGAAATTTGATTGCTGCCAGAGGGGTGTTTTCCCCATTCTCGTCATATGGCGTATGCATGAAAAAAAAAAAAAAAAGAAAGAAAAGAAAGAAAGAGAGAAAAAGGGGACGAAAAATAGGTCAAGTTGCCCTGCCCTTGCAAAATGCGACTGTGATCAACCCCTCCCCCTCTACTCGGGAGAGCCTACATCCATTACGTCGCCGCCGCCCCTCCATTGAATTTTTTTTTTCTTTTTTTTTTCGTCATTTGCTGTTTTTCCCCTTTCCTTTTCCCTTTTTTAACCCCCCCCCCCCTCTTCTCCTCCGTGCGCGCGATGCCCAATGATGACGCGATTCTCCCTTCAGCTTGCCGAGTCACGCACATTTTCCTGCGTAAACTGGCACCATAACTATCCGTTTCCGGCTGTGTAGGGGAGGAGGCGCAGCTGGCGTATGTGTGGGCAGTGTGATTGAACAGAGGTGCCAGAGACACACGTAGGGAGTTTTTTTTGGGTTTTTTTTTTTTTTTTTTCCTCTGCCAGCCAGCTTTCTACAAAAGGATCTACAAACGTTGATAATATAGAATGAATGAATGGGTGGTTACGTTTAAGATGAGCTGCCCCTCATCAGAGTCATCGCTGAAGCAAGCACCCCACCAGCAGCAGATGCAGCCGGCTTTTTCGCAAAGGATTGCTCTTTTTTTTTTTTTTTTTTGTAATTAAAAAAAATAAAAATAAAAATAAAAAGCAGCGATTCCTTACCCTGGCAACTGGCTAGTTGGAAATTGCAAAGGGCAGACTGAACAAGTACGCAGATTGGGCAAATTTTGAAAAAATCCTAGCCTGCTTTTGAGATTATTCCTTTTATACTAGTATTTTGCTTAAATCTTAGATGAACAATAAACAAATGCGGAGCCATGGATCAGAAAGTCTACGGTAACTCTAATAATCGAGTAAGTAAACAACAAACCTTGTATCTTTATAGGGGGGGATATCATGATTGTGATTGTTTGTGAGTACAGAGTATGCTTAGATGATGAATCACGATGATGATGGTGATGATAACAACAATAATAATAGAAATCCTGGGACATGAGGAGATGTTTCAGCAGCCGTGATGATGCGGGTATTTATTCGCTGGCGCTGGTTGCTGGTTGCTGCTGATGCAGGAATGCCAGGGATGGTTTTCAGGCATGTTTTGAAGTAAACCATGTCAATATATGGAGATGAATAATCTCAGTGAGAAGGAGGGAAAAAAGGAGAGGAAAAGAGAAGGATAAAGAAAATCCAAAGAGGGGCAAATCGGAGGATGACTGCAAAAAAAAAAAAAGGAAAAAAAAGAGCAGTTGAGGGATTGATGCCTGACGAGAAATTTTCAATCCGTGATTTGCGATTTGCGATCGTGTTGTGCGCAGGCGGAGGAAATAAAGAGTCAACTAAATAAAGAGTCAACTAGATACCTTCGAGGCCACTCCACGCTCTATGGGCTTGCAAGTCACTCAGATCCATCCCTCTGATACGAGCCTCTGTTGTGTGTTCATTTATTTCTTATTATTATTTATTATCCTGCCCGCTGTCTCCTTTTCTCTCCCTCCCTCTCCCTCTCCCTTCGCTGCTCCGTGCGAAAATATATTCTGGTCTCCGCCTCGAATACCTCTCTTCCTCTCCATCTCCCTCCCATCTCCCTCCCGTCCATTACTATTATATCTCCCTATCTCCCTACCTCCCACTGCCTTCTTCGAATCTGCGTCGACCACAACAGCCGTCCTCGTCTTCGCCCTCGTCCTCGTCAGTTCTCCCTCGCCAACCACGACTCCCGTGCGACGCTCAGCTCTGCGCAACGCCCGCCCCGAGCCGTTTCGCCTGCTCCAGCTGCATCTCCCGCATCGCTTTGCTCTCCCATCTCACGATTTCACCCTCACTCTCCCTCACTCTCCCAGCACTATCTAACCACCAAGTCCGCCTTTTCTTCGCCCGTCCCTCCCGCTATCGATAACCAACTGCCACCACCACCACCACCACACATAAGGAGAAACTAAGACGGGGATATCGTCTTCTTCTTATCGCTCCCCACATCTAAAACACACCCCCAACACAGTCTAAAATCGATCGATTTTCGATTTCATTTTCGCTGTCTCGCGTGGGTTATTTTGCATCCACGGACACATACACACACACACACACACACAACACACTTTCTGGACACTTTCCTTCAACTCTTCGCACTAAAAACCTGCATTCCGACCAACCATTCCCTGGCCCCGAACCCCAGACTGTCCAACCGGATCTGGTGATCTCGGTTACCCCACTGCAAAAGACTCTCGCCTCCAACACAGGCTCAACACAGGCTCAACACACGCACCCGCTCCGCCAATTTCTCCCTTCTCGTCGCCGCGAAATCTGGCTTTGGCTCTGATTGTCGGATAGTTCTGTACATTAGCATCGCGCCCTCGTCATCCTGCTGGTCGCTACGTTGCTTTAATCTTTTCATCGGGTGCTTTTTTTTTTTTTTTTTTTTGGGTGTGGTCTGCTAAATATTCCCACTCCCGGTGCTGTGTGCATGTTCTTGCCTGCCCTTCTAGATAAAGAACAACCTGCAAGCCCTTTACCATCGAAACATCAAGAGGTTCGTTTGTTAAGGAAGAATAAAAGATAATTATAAAAAGGGAAGAAGAGAGTTGACATTACCAAGCCCATCATCTTTTGTCGCCATCTTCCCTCCCGCTGGCTACTTAGTTGTCAGAACTTGGGTCTGCAGTCCTCACACCTCTCCGACTATTCCTTGCAGACTTCGATGGAGCACTTGACTGCCTCAGTGGATTCCCTCTCAGAGCTGAAATTCAGAGCCACTGTGTATAGGTGAACAGATTTCGCCTAGTCCTGCATCAAGTTTTGCCCTACTTTCCTTTCATTAATTTATTGCTTCCTTCTTTTTTTTCTTTTTTTTCCTTTTCTTTTTCTTTCTTTTTTCTCTCCTTTTTTTTTTCGATACACTCCTTTCGTCGTTGGCGATAATACAGAACGGCGTTTATTTTTTAAATAACAAAAGGGGGAAAAAAAAGGGGAGGAAGAGAAAAAGAAAGAAAACAAACAACAAGTGGATGCGAGAAGATAAGAGAAAAAAGCAGTCGACGGAACCATATATACTAGTATATATATTCATCTTTTGGGGGTTCTCAAGGGAAGACAACTTAGGTAATTTTCGCGCTAGTGTCGAGGTGTTTGTTGGCAAATCGAAGCGTCAGAACATCAGGGATATAAAGAGAGAACAGCGTTGCCACGCAGCTGGCCTGGTTGAGAACGATTCGGCCGTTCATCTATAGTCCCAGTCTGGGTCGGGATTCATCGAACCAACGGCGCCCTCCCGAGCGAGCCAAACCTGCAAGCCCCGCCAAACTTTCGACAGTGGAGTCATGGCCGCCAGGACTTCTCAACAATCGTACGCTGCCTTCTTCGAAGACTTTGATGAGGATGCCAACGTTACCATACCAGAGACTCGCACCGTTGCCAACGTTGCCGCCAAAAGATCGAAGGCTGATCCTCAACAGTCAGGCACTAGTACGGACGGTGCGAGCGACTCTGGATACTCCAGTCGAACAGCAGCCACTGTTGGCAGTGCTGATTCACTACCCACTGGAAAGAGAAGCCCTCCTTTCGTCCAGTTGGACACTGTCATCGCCAATCGGGATATCGAACGCGTGAGAGGCCGTCCCGACGATAGAGAAAGGGAGAAATCAAAATCTAAGGGGAAGGACAGGCAGTCAAGAGAAACAAACTCCTCTACTTCTAACGGAACTACTAGTACAATTCACGTTCCAAATATGCGGAGAAGTTCCAGCAGACCTGCTCCCAAGCGGTCCTCGTCTAAGGCAAGAAAGTGGGAATCTACCCATGGACGCCATGCTCCCGACACCTGCCCAGATTGTGACCAGTATGGATACCACAACGTCCCTATGGGAGCCCATCCACTTCCCGACCCTCACCCTGTGGATTACGGTTCCTACATGCATCCCCAATCTCACGGTTATGACATTCCCCCATCGCCGCATCCTCAACCATACCATTACCCACCCATTGCTACTCAGGAAATCGTATCATCCCGTCGCGATCGTTCGAATTCTTATCACCAGAGTCGGCCCATGAGCTACCACGCAGGAGCCATGCCAGACATGAATATGTACATGCATATGACTCCTTCAACACCTGCTTACGAACAACAACATGGGCCCCCGATCTCTGCCTCTGCATACGCCCACTACATGGCTCCTTATAATATGCCCAATGGCCCTGTTGCCCCTCCCCACCCTCCTCATATGTCATATGAATCCGCCCCGCCACCTCCTTTCGAACGGCCTCGAGCAGCGTCCACCTCGCGATCGCCCGAAAAACCGACTGGGAGAAGAGGTTCAATGTATGGGACCCCAGTGGTGGAATACCCGTCCTCACCGGCTCCGCATCGTAGCGATGGATTGCAGCGACAGCCTTCCTCACGAGAAGTTCGCGTTCGCCGTGAGTCAGTGTCTCAGCCTTCAACATACGACCCTGATGAAGATTTCTACCGCATGCCTCCCCCCCCACTCCCCAAAAGCAAACCCCCGTCTCAGGTCATCATCCCCCCTCGTCGACCATCTGCCCGCAAAGCGTCCACTTCAACATCTACTCCGACCATGTCACGACGCCCAGAGGGCATCGATATGGATGACCTTCGTGCAGCCCTTCCTCCAACCCGAGTAGGCCGGAAAAAGTCCAGAGAAGCCGTCCTGTCCGAGCGACGACCCAGCGCGCCTGGGAAAGCAGGCATCAGAACCACCTCCTACCACGATCCTGGGCGAGCGGCCCGCATCTCGATTGAGAACAGCCGACGCCGCCGCTCATCAGTCTATGGCGTCGAACAGACCAAGGACCTCGACCAAAAACAGCGCGAGGCAGAGGAGTACCAGTCCACCCGCACATCACGCGCCACCCCGCTCACACTGGACAGCCTTGTGAAGTGTCGCCGCAGCCACCGCGCCGACAGCGATAGCGGCAGCCTGCGCACGCGTACGGACAGCAGCCGCGGCAGCGACGCCAAGACCAAGAGCGCCATCAGCCGCCCCGAAGACGACGAGATCACGGTGATGATCGGCGGATTGCGCATCGGCGTGTCCAAGGACCATATCGATCGCCAGGTCATCAATCTGAGGTCGGGTGAGGAAGGGTCTCTGGAGCTTAATATCGAAGGAAGGAGGCCGAAGCGGTACTTCCTCTCGCGCTCGGAGTCGCTCAGTGGTACCGGTGGCGGTGCTGTGCGGAGGGAGATCGAGGAGAGTCGCCGCCTGCGCCACGATTCATCCTCTGATCGCGCGAGCAGGCGCTCCAGTCGCTCTGGGTATAGTGGAAGAGGACTTCTGGAGTCGTGAAACCGCGGCAATATATACATATACATATATATATATATCTATATCTGCGCACGAAGGTGGTTTTGCTACTCTACTGTTTCAACTGTTTTTTTGCCCATGTTAAAAAAAAAATTCTTTCTTTCCTCAAGGAAGAGAAAAGAATGAATTGAATGAATCGATGAATGGGGAAACAGGGAAAAAAATGACCTGTTGGCAAAACATCAAAATGGGAGGCTTGGGTCGGTTTTCTTTTTTATCTTCTGGAAAACCTAAAAGTTTTTTTTTACTGAAGGGAAAGAAAAAGTTTTCTTATCTTCTTTATTTTGCGATATATCCATCCTTCCCCCCTCCCTCCCCTGTTTTTTGTTTATGATTTGAACGCGAGCAATGATACCGCAAAGAAAGCATGTAACTGGAACCCTTCTTATTGATTTTATGTCCTCGTTTTACTCGACTTGATTATGACATGCCTCCTATGATTTTGTTTTTGTCCTTTCCTTATTTTTCTTCTTCTCATTTCAAGCGACCCGTTTGCCTTGCTCTCTCTCTCCTCTTCACCTTATTCTAACCATCCCTTTTTTATTCTTTTTATTCACTTTTTTTTCGCCTTCTGCTTTTTCAACACACTTATCATGATATATTGTCAGCTCTCGTCCATGCTCGTCTTTTATTTACATTTTTTTTTCCGGATTTTCTTATATCGCCAGCTGGGCTCTTTATTTTTTTTATATATTTTTTATTTTATTTTTTGCATAGGTACATTATGATTGGATTTTGGATGTTCACTTTTCCCACCTGCGATTCACCCAACCCCTTGTCTACTTCCCTCTTCCTCCCCTTCTATCAACCGTCTAAAATATATCATGCCTCCCCTATTCTCCTGTTTTTTTCTTTGTCACATTCCGCAGCTCCTTTCCCCATTCTCCCCATATTCCCCCATTATTTTATTACCTGATTCCTTATGTTGTAACTCCCTTTTGTCTAAGCGCTGGCGGAGGTTTGAGTCATGATGGTTAATGATCTGTACGATGTTCTACGATTCTTTTTCTTTTTCTTTTCTTTTCTCTTCTTCCTCCCTTATTGCAATCTATGGCGATGCTTTTTCCCGTTTCTTTCTTTTCTGGCCTTTATTTCTGTTCCATCCTTATTTAACTAGCTCTTTTTATACCATCGTGCGTTCCTCCTTACCCACTAACCTTGTCACTCATCCTCGCGTATTTTTGTCACTTTTACTCCATTATCCTCCGGCCTCTCATGCCGTAAAAATAACCTTTATCTTTATTCTTTATATTTCTTTTCTTTTCTTTCTCCAATTGCCTCACAAACGAATCACAGTAAACAACAACAACAACAACAACAACATTAAGAAGCAAAAAAAGGGGAAAGCAGGAAAAAATCGCCGTCATGGTTATTTATCTCCAATCGATGAACCATTATCACCACGACCTAATTATTTTGTATGTTCTGATACCCACCCCATCGTGCATTTTGTTTGTGTGCCATGCGGCCTACATATTTATTCTCTCTCTTTCCCTCCTCTTTCTTTCCCTTTCTTTTATCTTTTGTTTATTTTTGCTTCTCTTTGCCTAGCTTTACCCAGCGAGTTAATTTCTACTGCCTTACTGTTTGGTGCTGCTTCTGTTTTTTTCTCTTTCCTCGTACATTTTTCCTCCGCGCTTTTTGTGCTGTACAATGTAGGTGAGTTAATGTTTTTACTCGTAATTGATCTTTTTCTTTCCCATAGTCCTCTCCACCGCTTCTTTTTTCTTGCTTGACAACAAAAATTATTTTTCTTCTTTCCATCCGACGTAAATTAATTATAGTTAGCACACTTGGATAGTTATGCAATTAGGTTGTTGATAACGTTAATCCCGCGAAGGCGATAGACTTCCCGCACTTTCCCCACAAAAACAAGCCGCGATCCAAGGACCCATCACGCTAACTACATATGGATAAGTCCGCATCCATCACGTGCATCATCTAGTTTCGCTGACATAAGCCTCGTTGTCCTGCGCAACGGAGCGATGTAAACACAAAAAATGCAGGCGGCTGGGGATGCGATGAGGTCACTCCCAGCCTTCGATCCCGTGGCGGGACTTGAGCGAAAGTCTCTTGCTTCCTCCTCGTTTTTGCTTCCGTTCGGACCTTCGGTGGAGGGAAGGGATTTTCGTTTCTTTGAGATATCCTGTTGGTCATTTGCGTCGCTGTATTTATTGCTTCACATCCCGGCTATCGGAATATACTCCGACCTGCCCACCGATACTCCAGAGTGACCTCCTTGTCGACAGAGAAATCCCTTTTTTTATGGCAGAAACTATATGAGGCGAAAGAAGGATAATATTCACTGAGATCGAAGCGCTGCCTGACTGATTCCCTCCCAGCCTGAGCTGGTTTGGGCTCAGCTCGGGACTGTTGGCTGAGAGCGTTTGGAGAAGACGAAAAGTTGACTGCTTGACAAAAACGCGGCCTGTGTGCGTGCAGCACTTGTATTTCCGGGAAATTTAGCTCGTCAGCGTGTGTGGTCATCAATCACAACACTCAACACACACACAAATTCTCTATAGCTTGAATCAGTCACCGAACCAAACCACGGGCAGCCATGGCTCCCTTTTTCCCCAGCGCCAGAGAAGTATCGGGCGACTATCTCACGACCCTCGTTAAACGCACAACATCGCGTAACTTCCCCATCTCCCAACTCCGCCAACGCGAGCTCTCCCATCGGATTACAGAGATAGCCCATCCCCTCGCCCCGCGCGCTGAGCATCATTCAAACCCAGTCGAGCCCAGTCGAGGTATCGTTAACCCGACCAGCATAAACATGGGAGGCCTGATGGCCCTTTTTGCTATCATAGGCGCCGCGTTCGTGCTGGCCGGCATTTGGTTCTTCTTCTGGGCGAAGAATGGCGGCTTTGTTTGGCGCAAAGGTGACTGGGAAGAATACAAGTCCACAGTACTACGCCGGAAGGACTCTGACGGCAGGACACTCAGCAACGCCACCAAGAGCACAGCTCTGGGCGGCGGGAGTGTTGTGGGTAAGGGTTACGGCGATTACCAGAGTAGCACCGATGCTGCGACCACAGTTGATGGCACTGTCGTATCGGGCGAGAAGCCGCGGCGCAAAGGTATCAGGGAGACCGCCAAAGAGAAGTTGTTGCGGAGACGGAGGGATGAGGAGTGGGAGGGCGGTGCAGATGAAGATATGCGTGCATACCGCCATGAGAAACCTGCGAAAGTAGGTGGGTTAAACCGCGAACCGGACGGCGAATACCATTCCTCGGACTACACAACCTCCAACGGCCGCGAGGACAGCGAGTGGGGCCAGAGCCAGGCGCAGACACATAGTGACATCGGTCCACTGCCCGGCCACGAGTCGGACCGCCACCACTCGCAGCGCCAACGAAACGCTTCCGGCTTTTCCTTCACCACCGGCGAGGACGATGTCATGACGGTCGCCACGGAGGAACAGCGATTGCATGACCATGCGCCGCCCCTTTCCTCCCGACACCATGACAGCAGCCACCACCGCCGCCACCAACACCGTAGCAGCCACGGTTCCGACGCGCCATCTACTTCAACCCGCCCACGCGGGCCGCGCCCAAACGCTCCTGCTCCTGCGCCTGCTTCTAATCGGTCTCGCCAGTCGAGTCCGCGCAAGCGGGAGCGGACCGCGATGCCGGGCAGTTATGCGGCGCCGCTGGATATAGCGTCTTCGACACATGGTTCGGACTACACGTATGAGCAGGTGAGCCTTGCGGAGCCGGATACCGGCACGGGCACGCGGAGCTACCATCATCCTATCCCGGGGTTGTCAAAGGGGTATCGGCGTGCTGATGATGGAGGGCGAGGCGGAGGGGGAGGGAGGGGAAGGAGAGATAGTTTGAGTGACAGTGAGGGGGAAGATTATGATAGTCGGGTATCCTAGGGGGTAATGCGTTTCCAAATCTTTTTTCTCTTCTTCTTTTCTTTTTTTTTTTTCTTTCTTTTTTTTGCGTGTGTGTGTGTTTTACTTGAGTTGGTTCATGGGCAGGATGGGGCTTTTTTTTGCTCTTGTCATCCCTTACTCTCTCTTTTTCCTGCTCATTTTCTCTGCTTTATGTAGTTATGTATGTACATATGAAGGAATTGACTTATGTATGATGATGGGAATAGAAATGGATAATACGATAGCAAATTGTTGTGGATGTGGATTTGTAGACAATATATGCACTCAGCGCACGTTGGTCTGGAATGTCTCACGACGCAGGCGTTTAGTTTAGCACACTATCTATCTATCTCCCTTGGATTTCTGCTTCATATAGAAGCTTCGATGATAAGACAGTGGAATATGATATTTCAAGACAAGCCTGCTTGCTGTCTTCTTCTGTTATAAAAGTACAGTACATTCAAGCACTTTTTTTATGTGGTTGTAAACAGTAGTGAAGGTGCAAGAATAGGAAGCATCCACCATGATACCAGAACTTTTTTTTTTTTTTTTTTTTTTTTTTTTTTTTTTTAAAAAAAAAAAAAGGCCTCTCTAATCTAATCTAATCTAATTTAACGAGGCCCACGTATCTTTTCCTTCGGAGAAGAGTTGAGGAAGTAACCACTGGCCTACTCGACACATCCTGTAACAGCTTTCCATTTTCCATGAGGGGTTCTTTAGGCCGTGGATTCCATTGGCGTTGGATAATGCTTTTATTAAAATAATAGAGATCGTAAAGGGCATAAGCAATTCCTTGTAGGGAAATCCATGGGCATGCCATCGTAGCATGCCTGCCATATAGCATTAGCTGAAGATCCACTGTGACGGTTTGGCCTGCTCAAGGAAGTTTGATGGCGTCAGGAGATCATGCCGCTTTGATGCGATAATACGACGACGATTTGACATCCTCTGGTGGATTTCAGGGTGGCTGGATTTGATGGGATGGGGGGGGGGGGTGCACAGCTTGATAGAGTTGGTAACATAGTATACAGGCTGATATCGTAGACAGGATTCACCCGATATGGCTGAAAGTTTTGCATACCCCAGGAGCCTAGAGCTTCATGGTAGCAAGCTTGCCGTTTTGCTACCACGGTTGATCGGTCTGGCGTCTTGATATCTTGAAAGCAATTTTGCAGTATTGCGCGGCTCGCCACTGCTGAAGTATGGTGGTATCCTGAAGCTCATCACAGATATCTATTTCTATTTAGTTCTTCAAACCGAGAGCCATGGAAGTTGTCAGGCTCAGCATTGGGAATCGTGCCACCGGTTAAGGACAAGAAATTTCAACAAGGATTAGCCTCCGCCAACAATCCTAGGATCGCTTCAACCCAGAGAAGTCTCGATAATTTGATTTTCTTCTTGTTACTGGGTGCATATGGATTTGCTGGTTCAAATTGTCAAAGGCTTTCGTTGCCGAATTTCAGGGGTGATAGGGAACGTCGACTTTGGTCAAGCACACGGTGGATTTGACGGCAATTGTCGGGATACTCATATCCATGGGATAGACAAAGTAGTCAATGAGAGGCTATGCTCAAAGCCAACGCTGTAGGTATCCCAACAGGCAGGTGTTGATCAAAGTTCACACCAGCATCTCACCGGCTTCTTCACATCCCTAGCCGCCTCAAGGGCCGCCGCCGCCCACTGAAGGGAATCAGGACGAACATTGAACTGCTCAGCTATTCTTACCTCATCTAAGTACACACTCTCGTTATCATTGACAGCAATTATTTCGTCCACCCCTTGAATCTTGAGTCTTGAGGACTAATACTAGTAACTTGGGTGTGGAGTTTGAAGAGAGCTTTGAGCCTCCCTGAAAGTTTTTCCGGCCGAAAAGCCTCACCGTTTAAAGTTTTACGCGGGCCCCGAATCTTCAATACGCAACAATCATCTCGTCTTAATACGTTATTGATTCCGATTTTCAACATTCAAGTTGTTATTATGGATTATAATGAGCTTTTAGGCGTCACACACAGTGATGATGATGGAACCAGCGACCATGATGACGATTCCAAACACCGGGCAACTGAGAGTAAGGGCTACGCTATAAAGCGGTCCAGGACAGCAGAGCCACACGGATCGGACAACCGCAACTCTGATAACGAACACGGGGAAAAGCAGTCACGGACAGATCTCCATGTCAAGAGGCGGAAGCTCAACAGGGGGATGGCCGAAGCAGCCTCAAGCGAGGAAGACAATCGCAATCAAACCAAAGCCATTGAACAGGACATAGATTTAGCCCCTTCGACGACCAAATCGCCAGAAGAGAAGACAAAGCCACGCAAAGCACCCAAGAGTAAGAAAAGAGGTGTGATCTACTTCTCTTCACTTCCGCCGTATCTCAAACCCAGGGCTTTGAAGAATCTCCTACAAGCCCGCGGCTTCGAACCGATCACAAGAATCTTCCTTACGCCATTAATGCCGAGCGATTCACGCCAGAAGGGGAACAAACGCAAGACATACTCAGACGGCTGGGTAGAGTTTGCATCCAAGAAAACAGCCAAGATCTGTGCGGAAACGCTCAATGCGAGAACCATTGGTGGCCGCGGCTATTATCGCGACGATCTCTTAAACGTCAAATACCTACACAAGTTCGGCTGGGACGATTTGATGGAGCAGGTGCAAAGGGAGCGGTCAGAACGTGAGGCAAAGAGACGAATCGAGGATGCGCAAGCACGGAAGGAGCAGAAGATGTATTTGGAGAATGTTGAGGCTGGACGAGCTGTCCAGGGAATGGCTAGAAAGAGGGAGGAGAAGCAAAGAGCATTAACTCAGGGTTCTAAGGACGACATGGCCGCAAAGGCTCCCGATATCCGACGACGTTTTGTACAAAATACTACTATTACGAGGGAGAGAGAGGATGGTGGCCCGATAGGTGAAGATACCAAAAGAGTGTTAGCTACGATATTTTAAATCTATTATTGCGAATTGGCTATAATTCAAAGGAGCAAGATAGAATTGGAATCAATACTACTTAAAAACACAAGCGGAACCTCCATTCCCAACGGGAGTAATGCACCAAATCTTTTAGTTTTCATCTGATCTGACATCTTCTCATCGCTGAGAAGCCCGCAGAACCATTCCCCCTGGTCGGATCCTTCGAAGTACTTGTCTTCATCATCTCCTTTGCTGGGAGCGATGCTGATATCGCATTTCTTCGTCATCCGGTTCATGCAGTGTCTGTTTCACGCAACGTGATTTGAGATAGACAATCATTACTTTGCCCACTTGCCCTTGAGCACGGCGAAGCACAGTTCAATTTTGAGGGGTTCCGAAACGGCCTGTCATCGCCGTGACTCTCAGATTGGATATTGTGGCGTTCAGCATTTCTTTATTCCAACTCGCAACATCAACGGCTTTGGGGCCAATCAATTACCAGCCGCGCTCGGACGTGCAGGAGATCAGCAATCTGATACTGAGCCTGTTCTATCCATCTGACATGTTCCATTTCAACTTCTTGCCAACGGCAGAAGACTTGTAAAATTGTCTATGGGGGGTGGTACGACTAAAATGTTGATTTTATAACAGCATCATCTCTAGCAATGGATAAAGTAGCTTTGATAATGGGACTTTACGATCTTCACAAGGAACAAGAGCAAGAGAAGTTGTACTATTTTGCTTCATTTTTACTTGTCTTTGCCCATTTTAGTTGTAGCTTTTGATAATCACTATTTTACACAGGTTTGGTGGTCCATTGTTTTCCCTTCTGCGCTATAGCTACTCTATTGCTAACAGCCACTATCGTGTTCCTGGTCGTCGCCTCCTTTGACGTCACCCTGATCAGATCTGGGATCACTTGCCATTGGACTGTAAAGGGCAAGAATGAAAAAAATTACCTTGAGAGTGAACCATAGAAATCCATTCCATTTCATACCGTGCATCGGAATCCCTGAAAACAGAGTTGAGATAACAAAAATGGCACATCAACGGGATGTTATGTTTTTCAATCACCCAATCACACCCATAATCCATAATCCAACTTGAGAAATCCATCTGCATGCCAATGCGCTGGTCAACTAAACAGCGTATTCGTAATTCAGCGGGCAGGATTCATGCACAACATGCGGGGAACCGTATCAATACGGCATCATGACATTCTGTTACGTCCTTGGATAAGCGAGGAAGGGAGTGGCATGTTAGTTTTGCACTCCATTGATCTCGCCCGCAGTGCCATAGATATAGATTATGTTCATCAGACACGGAGACTTATGCTGTTGTGCTGCACTCACTGCGGGGTTCAAGCCGGATTTCATACGTAGCTCCTAACGGAGGTGTTGGAAAATGTATGTATAGTACAGTACATCTGTAGGTACGATGTAGTTCATCGATGCAAGAAGTTATGAGTAATTACAATTGAAACTAGTTTTAGGATCTCCCATCTGTCAGTGGTCTGCATCGGAATTTCTTTGACAAAGAACCCACTCTTAAGCACAGCGCAATCAAAATCTATGGCGTATCTCGCTCCAAAACACAGGATTTGTGCCTCCACTTCGAGGCTGTTAGTTAGCGCCGGAAAAGCCCTAACTGTGTGGGGTTGGTTGGTTGTTGGATGGAACGTTTTTGCGTCCATCTCCTCACGCCAAATCCTCTCCTGCGCACCAATCCATGGTTGGCTAATCCAATCAGCAGGAAATGCAGCCAAGTCCTGGAGGGGTGGCAGTTTGACCACGAATAAACTGCACGCTGTCTGGGATTCCTGTCTATTCCAACGGATAGAGATTGGAATCAGGCCCATGGTTGATTGGAGCGATGTGTTGGACGGTGAGTGGGTGCGCAAATGGTATATGTAAACGACGTCAGACCGGCTCGTCTCGGAGGCCAACCGCTCGCACCATTGAGATGACTGGAAATGAAATGGATAATCCATTTTGACTTTTGAAAAAGTGGCAGCAGGAGCTTACAGTTCAGTGAGAATAAGGGGTCTCAAATCAGCGCGAGATATCGTACGTAGATGTTCACACGATGTACTGTACATATACCATAAATATTTGAGCATCAATAAGAAAATAAAATAAAATAAAATAACACAAAGGTAAAGGAAAACAGTACGAAGGTGCTCCAAAATAGAGCGAAAATTGGAAATTTCCCTTCTCTAGTAAAATACATCAGTCAAAAACAAAGCTAAGAAGAGGCAGAATAAGAAAGGGGTCCAAGGGGAGGTTGAAGTGTATAATAAAACGACTGGAATCATATAAAGAGTTGAGTCTGGTTCCTGCCGAGAAGATGTAATCCTTGTAAAGGGAAGAAGGTCACTTAGGCCGTGTGTCCAGGCATATCCAGCACTCTGGTATCTTGCTGCATATGCTCATCGGGGATGGTTCTGATCCCAACTGGCCTTTTTGCTCAAAAACATATACATCCCTTGGGGGCTGGCTTTTCGCTCAGCGTCGTGACATTCCTCATGGGCCGTTATATTATACTTGTGGCCTTTTCTCAAACCATGGCGACCCTCAGGGGTTTGCTTCCCCCAAGCTCTATCCTTTGTGGCGTTTTCCAGGCGAGCGGTTACACTCTTTCCCATTTTCATGTTGATCACTCTCGGCCTGTTCACTTTCTAACCTCATTATCGCGGTTATTGTGCTCGAGACTGGTAGGCGTTAATTCAGCTCTCATGAATTTTTGCAAATTATATCTATTCATTGTTGTTTAACACTCGGTCAATCTTGTTCTATGTATATTAGTCACTGCGCGCACAGACTGCATCAACCATCACATCAACACGTTTTCTCTTATTCTTTTGGTTCTCTTTGTTGATGTCTGTTGTTTATAACCACTCACTTCATATTTTAACTTCATAGGGTAGTGCTTCTTCTCCTAGGAAATGCGGTCTATCAGCCGTGCGATGGGACGCATATCCTTCCTCCGCTCCAAACCTGTCCGGCTCTCGCCATCATCCTTGACGGCTTCCATTCCTCATCCCGAACTTGTGGATGAGGAAATCGGCCCTGGTTACAATCCCAAACACTATTATCCAGCGAAACCAGGGGAAATTCTTGCCAATCATTATCAATTGTTGGTCAAGATCGGATGGGGAGCGGGCTCAACTGTATGGCTCGCACAAGACGTGGCAAGGCATGCAGTGTTTATCCTCCATAACTGCCGTCGCAGTTCGCGTCACTAACTTTTAAACATCCAATCAATAGATATCGATGGCGGACTAAGCGTTTTGTAGCTCTAAAGATTATAAATAACAACGATTCTAAAGGCTCCTACTATGAGCGTGATATTGAAGACCACATTAGGCGACAAACCCCCTCGCATCGCGGTCGTCCAGTTGTCCGCAGTTATCTTGACAGCTTTGAGGTGGCAGGCTCCATAGGAAAGCATCTATGCTTGGCCTACGAGCCCGCACGGGAGCCCCTCTGGATTTTCCAAAAGCGGTTTGCGAGCGATAGGTTCCCACTGTCAATGGCTAAAGGGTATATCCTTATTCTTTTGGCTGGCCTCGATTACCTACACTCTGAATGCAGGGTTGTACACACTGGCAAGCAATTGAAACATACCCGCTCATTTTAGGAAAATGAACTAATATATATGTTTTTTTTAAGACTTGAAACTAGACAATATACTCATGACATTTGAAAATGAACACATTCTTCCCAGATTTGCCAATGAACAGGCAGCTCAGTCTATGCAGTGCAAAACTGATCCAAACACCGGCCGGGTTGTCTATCGCTGTCACAATGACTTCGGGCGCCTTGATTCAAGTGGACTAGGCAATATGTATCCCCAAATAACCGATTTTGGCGCGGCCACTCTACTTGCTAATGACAGTCATGATGGCACTGTCCAATTTGGTACCCGTCCCATACAACCTGACTATTATCGTGCACCAGAAGTTGTTCTTGGCTGTGGTTGGAGCTTTAGTGCGGATATATGGAATTTGGGAGTTATGGTAAGGGAATAATACGTAAAAACATATGCTGCATCACAGTTTTCGGTATCTAACTCACATTCTGCAATAGGCATGGAATATTATTGAAGGTACAGAGTTATTTAGTCAGGTGCAGGATGCAGAAGGAAAATATGATGCAAATGCACATCTCGCGGAGATGATAGCACTGCTTGGTGTACCACCCAAGAAGTTGCTTGTAATGTCGGATTCCATGTCACAGATTGAGTGGTCCCCAGCCATTACAGACGAGAGGGGCGGGATCTACAAGAATAATAGGGATTATTTTGGTGGACCATTTTTTGATGACCACGGTAAGTTAGCGATAGTTAACTAAGATATCCGGTTTGCAATTTACATAGGCTTTTACACTGATTCATATTGTGACAGGTAAATTCCTCTACGACGATCTGATACCGACTCGAAAACTTGAAGATACAGTTCCATCTTTAGAACCAAGGGACAAAGAAGCTTTTTTGTCTTTTATCAAACAAATGCTTGCATGGCTACCTGAAGAGCGAAAGACAGCTCGGGAACTGATGGAACATCCGTTCCTCAGCCATTGATGGGATGGCAGGTTGCGTAAGTATTTCTGCTCGGTCGAGTCGAGGATGCCTTTTGCCGAGAGTGGTCGAAGCCAAAGACCGCTGGCTCGTACTCATTTATACAGATCAACAGGAGCTTGGATTGGATCGAAGCAAAGAGGAAGCTCTCCCAGCCGTCGCCGTCACCCAATGAAACTCCTTGCCTACGAACAATTAATCCCCGGTTCGCCTGTTTTTTTCCTTTCTTTCGATACGAAAACACAAAACAAAGCAAATTACAACCATGGCTGCCGTTCAAGGGGCCATCTAGAAGCGCTACAAATTCGTGGCTGATGGTGTTTTCTACGCTGAGTTAAACGAGTTCTCCCACGGTTACAGGTATCATCAGTGCGTCTCACTGTACTTTATATCTATTTTCATTTCTTTTCATTTCTTTTCTTAGATTGTGAGATGAAGAAGGAAATAAAGAAAAATTCGAAAAAGCCTAGCAATGGGTTTTGTTGTACTTGGTACCAAGCAGGCGTGGCAATTGAATATAGGAAACGGAAGCGATTGTTGCAATCTACTCCGTACATTGCATTACATTGGGCAAGTTACCAGGCATATGGCAATGTAAAATCGCTTAGAACGCGCTTACCTAGGCACCCTAAGCGCGCGCCCATTACAGGCCTATTCTTATATCCATTCTGGGTCGGCCGGTACAGGTCATTTGGGTCTGTTTCTAACATAGAGCAATGGTCACAGGACCCTCCCTGGTCTATGACTGTTGACCGAAGTATCCTGTAGATACAAAATAGACTAGGTTCTGTGATAGACAAAATCGTACACTTCGAAACCTATGCTGTACCTTCCTGTTCGAAAGCTCTTAGATAACACGAATTCAGAGATAGGTGATGCCATGCGCTTGGTAGCAACTTTCATCGTTGAACCAACAATATTGAATCCAGTGATAACTTGTAAAGAACATTTTCAGGAGAGAATTGCAAAGTTGATGCAGAAGCCAATTGCTAATGCATTCTATTATAGTGAAAAGCCCCATGGGCTTGAATAGCATCTGCTTCAGAAAACAGTGACAAGGTCTGAATTTTATACCATGCAAAAGTGCGATGCGCAGTTCAGAACCTGAGTCTAATGGGGCTTTGAAGTCAGAGCCATTTCATCAACCCAAGGGCTAAACCTTGGTCCGTGTAATCTTGGTGAACACGTTCCTTATTTCCTTTAAGAGAGTTCAGCGCTTCGACAAGCTCCAATCGCTATATCCGATCTTGTTTAGGGATCGGTTTATGGAATAGTTGATCCCATCTACCCCAATAATAATCAAGGCCCTGCGTGTTCGGAGTTCGAGTTAGGACTAGGATATTGGTATCCACTGGAATCAATGGCAGTCCTTCCGCCGGGGCAATTGTTCTCTGATATCCGATGCAGATGAGGAATCTTTTCCCAGAAAAGAGGGCCCACTAGAGAACACCGCACCGGATTAGCTCTTCTGTACGACTTATGAATCTATTAAGTCATCTCCAATTTCAAATGGGATGCTTTGTACAGTTCGATCAAGGATGGTGTTTGAACTAGTTCGACAAGGTCAAAATAATATGAAAACATCATCCGGATTGGATGGGCGGCTACAAGCCCTCACCAAGAGATGCTTTTACATACAGGTAAAAGATTTAGAAGTTAACCGTGGAGTGCGTTTTTGTGTATTCACATTTTACCTGGGAAATTAACAAAAGGGGAACTAACACTTGTGCCTTTTAAGTCAGTCCTTCATAACATTGACAAGAATAGTTTGAAAGCCGTCTTTTCAGCTTATGCCGTTATCGCAAATCATACGCTCAAGAATGAGATTGATGATGTTGTGGCTTTGCAAATTAATCGAGATGCGAGTTGTAGGCTTGAAGGCGCTGAAGGATCGTCCAGAGTAGTGGCAGCAAGTAGCGTCTCGCTGGGCAACTTTGCGGATGTATTTAACATTGCACAATGTTTTGTGGTATTGGACATACGGTATCAATACCTTCCCTGTACCAACACCGAAAAATACCATAAGAAGATCAGGGGCAGCATTTTCAATACAATACCGCGATTCGATCAAATATAGGACTCAATATGGGTAGCATAGTGCCGGAACATCATTGCCATATAGACTAAAGTTGGTCTGATGGAGTGTGGAATGTAATTTATAGTGCATGTGCTATATTTGCCGAAGAGGGGTGTTCGAATTTACCACTCAGAGGGCGTGTGCTTGGAAGCAAAGCACAACTCTGTTGTTGGAACATTTCCTGCGGAATGGTCGGACGAACCAGCTTTCTCTACTTTACATGGACTGAGAAAGACATCGGGGAACTCTGGAGAAGTGTTTCATGATCAAGGAGGCCGGGAGATTGACAATGAAGTGACCAGAAATGGGTAATGGAACGGGGATGCGGTCATTCGAAGGGCCAACGCCCCGGTCATCGGGTATATATGCTTTAGAAGTAGGTAGACATGCATTATATATGCCGCCATCTTGCATATGTATGGGGGAAGGAAACATCATCTCCTTTTAGCGTCCTCAATGATTCGCGAAGCTGTATCTCTTGATCAGCTGCTCGATGTTTTTTTCATCGGTCATGAAAATGGCCAACATAACTTGCATCCCTGGTGTCCCTCCAGTTTGCACGGAAAAGTTGCAGAGCCGCAAAGTTGGTTTGCTTATTTATGGTTCGCATTTTTGCTCGCTGTGCTCAGAAATATGGGTTGTAAAAAGGCACCCGGTGATTTTGAGCCTTTTCTGGTTAAAGAATAAGCATTTGATAAATTATTTTGCCTTTTTCCTGCTTTCCTTGTCGTATTTTCGATATCACAGCCGAAATTAGACGCGTAAATAGGCTAAAAACATGTCCGGGTATGTCCTCAGATTCGGAATCATGACAAATTGGGCTGCACTGACCGGGAGACCCAAGAAACCGACGTCGCGATAAACTTGTAGATTGTGAGGATATAGAAGTGCCAGACGGCTGTTGTGGTAGGGAGCCGTGGGCATATCGTACAGAGCCTAATAGAGGGAAATGTTATCCACCGAATCACCAGCTAGCCCCTCAAGTCGAAAGGAGATCAGTCGGGCAGGACAGTGTCGTACCTTCATCCACTGTCCCAAGAACAGTGAAGTATTTCTCCTAATCAGCTCTTTCAAGCTAGGCGTATTGACGCATCGCCATTTTAACCTTCGCTCTAAGATCCATAATGCTAGAGGGAGCGTCAAATGTTTAGTTGAGCTAAATAGACATAGCGTTTATTCCGGTCAGCGAACCGACGAGCAGACCCAAGTCCATCATGTGGTAGAAGCCGGCGGGGGGATCAATCGAAGTGCCCAGAACCAACAAGAGGCCCGGGCGCGCAACCAGGTGGAAGGCTTCAAACGTCAACAGAGATCACACAACTTCGATCCCGGCGTTCCGCAATTAAACACTCGGTATCATTTGTCATCAACGCTGGAAGATCAACCTCTGACAGCGGCTTCTAGATGCGCATCAGACGTTGGCGGATATGATCGGCAAAACAGTAATTCTCAGATCGGTTACCGTTCAGGATACTCCATCCAGCCCCAAAACGACTGTTATCAACCAGCAGCTTTCACGAGCTCATGTTACAAGAACAGCAATATTTTAGGTTATAATAACATTCCATCCGATCTCACATATCCGCTTCAGCCAAACGTGAGTCCACCAGCTTGGAGTGGGAAACACTGCGATCAAATGAATTATGGAGCTCATTTGGATGCACTGAGCGGAGCTGCAGCTTCCTACCAGGCCTCCACTGAAGGTGTGCAACGATAACTCCACACATTCTTGAGAGAGTTGGCTAGAGAGCAATTCGAACACAACTAAACCAGATTCATAGATTCAGAGCTTAACCCTGCACGACAAATTGGACCGACTGATGTATCGCAAAGGTTGAATGGGGATAGGTAATAGAATTGAAGCTAATTATGGAAGGTTCAAGTACTAACAACTCAAAGGCTGTTGCGTGAGCGAGAATCCGAAGAGATACGTCAAAGCTGGCCAGGTAGATCGCCACAACTGATTATTTTGCTTAGTGTCGTCAGAAATAGCTAAGGTCCGACATTCACAATAGGTTTTCAAGCTCCTGTGGCACGAGTCCGGAGGCAAAACAGGAACGACGCCGACTTAATGTAACGAACATGTCAATGGTGAGATCCTTCGCATCGTTGCAGTTTCGGAAAAAAGAGCTGTTTTCTAATTTTTGTAAGCATAGTTCACATGGCTCCAGAGAAAGTAAGCTCAACTTGTCCATAGTACCATTCGAATATACTCAGAGCATGGAATCCACAAGGTTTCCATTGATCCAAAACCACACACCGCCACACCATGCTATCAACAGCCAAGCTGTTTGATTAAAGACGAATTTGATTTTTGCCCCGTGAGAGGAGACGCTGCGTAACACTTCGCTGTTGGAATTTGGGAAGGTGTGCCTCAAAGCCAGGCCAATAGGTAAACTGTCCAGCAAAGGAACTGCACTCTTTCAAGCATTGGGCAAGGAGTGTATTCCTAGAACCTGTAGGAATTGAGCTTTTTTTCTTTCCCTTTTATACCCTTTCTTGAGCCTGCGACCTCACAAAAGCGCAGTGCTGGAGAACGAGCAATCTAGGAACAGCCTCTTTTTGGAAGCATCCTCGATGGTAGTTCTCCCCTCCCCTCCCTCATACTTACAGTTTGGTCAACACCTTTTTTTCCCCTTCCTTTACCCTGGCAAACTTGCTGTCAAACTGGCAAATGCACACATCCGAGGACTCAATTGTTGGAATTGTTTTTGTTTCAGGTTCATTCATCTCACTCTCAATTAAACTATTTCGGTGACTTATCTTAAGTGCAGATGGCAGACCTAGCAGAGATGGGGCGTAGCAGCAGCAGAGCAGGCGGTGGTAGCCATCGCAATTGCAACAAACTTCAGACAGATAAATCTATCTAACTGTTCATATTCCCCACTCCACGTTGAGAACTTTCACCAAGTAGAATAGAGGTCTTATCGCGAAATAGACAAAGTAGGGTTCCAATTCTTCTGTACTTTGAACAGCAATGTCAACATAATCAGAGTGGCTCCGAAAGTCTGTAACTTGTCAGAACACTGAGGTTTAGGACTTAGGAGTTGAAGCAAAGTGAGAGTGGACCGGATTAACTAGACGGCCGGACATAGCGCCAAGACCTCCAGCGGAAGTTTCAATGGTTTTTTTTCGGCCTGTGATATCAGCAGCGACCAAACAACGAACATACAATACTCGAGATAAATTCCGTGCCAGGACCAGAGTTGGCTATCAATAATGAAGCGGAAGCTTGATGCCAACAATGTCCCTTCCCCGGAAGATAGTGCGGGAAAAAGTAGCACCTCCCACAGTTTCGAGACCTTGAAACTGGATCCCAGGCTTCTCCAAGCCCTCACGCAACAGAAATTCACAAAGCCAACGCTGATTCAAGCGGAAGCTATCCCGCTGGCTTTAGATGGAAAGGATGTATTAGGTAGCACTTACTTTCCTCTTGGATGTTAAATTCCTTCAGTTCTAACTTTCCCGCAGCCCGTGCAAAGACCGGATCTGGAAAAACAGCCGCATACCTTCTGCCCGTCCTTCAGTCAATTCTGCAACAAAAGATGGTACGCTCACTCGCATTGTGCTGCTATTATGGAATGGAATTTAACGTATCTTTAGAATAATCCTGCGCACAAGTCGATTTCAGCTTTGATTCTAGTTCCGACGAGGGAATTGGCAGAACAAGTACACAGGACAGCGATTTCATTCTCCGCATTTTCTGGCAAAGATATACGCTCCGCAAATCTCACCCAGAAGGTTTCCGATGCCGTTCAACGCGCGCTTCTTGCCGATCTCCCCGATATCGTCGTATCGACGCCCGCTCGGGCTGTAGCGAATGTCAACAGTTCTGCGCTGTCCCTCGAGCGTCTAACACATCTAGTCATTGATGAAGCCGATCTTGTCCTCTCGTACGGCTACGAGGAAGACATGCAGAACCTTGCCAAAGCTGTTCCACGGGGTGTTCAAACCTTTTTAATGAGCGCAACTTTTACTTCGGAAGTAGATACGCTAAAAGGCTTATTCTGCCGGAACCCGGTTGTTTTAAAGCTGGAAGAGAAGGAGGATGAAGGGGCTGGAATAAGCCAGTTTGTTGTCAGGTATGTTGTCAATAGATCGAGATTTTGTAAAAAGGCCACTCATTGACAGTTTAGAAGATGTGCGGAGGATGAGAAGTTCCTCTTGACTTATGTTATATTTAAATTACAACTGGTCAAGGGGAAATGTATCATATTTGTCGGTGACGTGGACCGTTGCTACCGATTGAAATTATTTCTTGAGCAGTTTGGCATCAGAAGTTGTGTTCTTAATTCGGAGCTGCCTGTAAATTCACGTATCCACGTGGTTCAAGAATTCAACAAGGGCGTTTACGACATTATAATAGCAGCCGATGACCAGGAGGTTCTAGGTGAACTACGAAAAAATTCTAAGAAACAACCGAGGAAATCGGATCAAAGCTCCAGGGACTCTGAATATGACGGCGCTCAGGCGTCAAAGAATAACGACCAATACTCTAGCGAAGACGATGCCGAAACTCAGCCAAGCAAACGTCCCAAAAAGTCCGCAAAGGAAAAGGACTACGGGATTTCCCGTGGTATTGATTTCCAAAACGTCGCCTGCGTTCTCAACTTCGACCTCCCTACCACCTCGAAATCCTACACACATCGCATCGGCCGCACAGGCCGTGCGGGAAAGACTGGGATGGCCCTCTCCTTTGTCATCCCCTCGGATCAATTCGGCAAACATAAACCAACCAGCATCCCCTCCGCCAAGCACGACGAGGCAATGCTGAGTAAAATCATCAAGCGACAGGGCAAGCTCGGTCGGGAGGTGAAGCCCTACCATTTCGATATGAAGCAGGTCGACGCATTCCGATACCGTATGTCGGATGCGCTCCGTGCCGTTACCCGCGTTGCCGTCCAGGAAGCGCGCGCGCGAGAGATTCGTCAGGAGCTTGTCAAGAGTGAGAAACTGAAGCGCCATTTCGAGGAGAATCCCGAAGAGTTGAGGCAGTTGCGGCATGATGGGGAGCTACGGGCTGCTCGTGTGCAGGCGCATTTGAAACATGTGCCAGATTATCTGATGCCGACGAAGGGAAGGGGAGGTCTTAGCAGTGGCACAGGTGCTGATGTTGGGTTTGTGGGGTTCAAGAAGACGCATGAAAATCGGATTCGGAAGGCTAGGGAGAAAAACAGGGGAAGAGGCAGAGGGGGGAAGGCTGGTAGGGGTGGGAAGCGAGTTGATCCGTTGAAGAGTTTTAATTCTGGTGGCAAGCATTGATCCGATTTTTTTTGTTCTTAGTTTGGGGTATATACGCGTTTATCCCAGTTTGCCCTTTGTTGTTCATGAGGGGTTGGAGTTCAACAAGTATGTGAAAATTATGCAGGAGCCGTGGTGATCTGACCTCAGTCTCTAAGTAGTATAAATAAGAAATAGGAAAATATCTCAAAAACCTGACGCAGAACCACTCCCCGCATACTCCATACATCATGGTTCAATAATATAATAGGTCCACTTTACAGCCACCATTTTTTTTTTTTAAAAAAAACCACTATTCTTCACTTCGCTGCATCCTCACCCACCCACATCCTCACATACTCGCATCCTAAGTTCATCCTCATTTTCCAAACCGAGGGAAATCTCTAGCCACTTTCCACCTCCTGCCCTCCTAATCGCATGCACCTGCTTCTTCACCTCAACCGCACGCTCAATGAGCTTCCGATACTCGTCTCTCTCCCTTATCCGCGCCCTCTTGTCTTCAATTCCAGAAATTCCAGGCAGGGAAGAGTCATGACGCCCTGTCTCGATATCTCTTAGCAGGGTTTTATCCCTTTCGTAGATAAGATAGGAGCCTTCGACGTCAGATATATCCGGAAACCATCCCGGGCCAATACCTAGCCATTCAAGGCCTCTCCACGCCCCAGTCCACTCCGGCCCGGCTGCAGCATGGAAATTTCCTTCCAAATCAATCCCATTCCAGCTTAGAGCTGGGATCCAATCACTGCAGCCTTCAAGATCCAGCCATTTGAGACAATATGTTGTTTTAGAGAACCTGCGGAGAACACCAGCGGCTTCGACCCAGTTGTTTTCGAAGGCGGAATACATGTCTGTCCCGCCGTAAGCAAAGGAGAGGGAATTGAACTTTGGATGTCCCACACTCGCTGTGAGAGAGTTTGGGGTTACGGTTGGGATTGGCCAGAATGCGAGGGACAAATGAGTTATCGTGGACAGGTGGGAGAGGAGGTTTAGCAAGGAAGACCATCTGGCTTCGCGGGGGTTGGGGTTGGCGAGGGATAGGAACTTAAGGTTTGAAAAACGCTGTTGGGAGAGCTGGGTTGGTTTTAAGGGGATAGCGGTCCTCATTTCTTCGTCCCAGGACGGCAAGGCCGTGTCTTCGTTTTTCCTCATTTGGAAGGGAGATTCATGTCGATCCGTCCCTTTTACTTCTCGCACCAACTGCTTAAAGGTCATCCAGTGGCCTAGACAGGAACCTAGATCTAGACGGGTGATATCTGGGTTGGTTTCGATAATGCTATCGTCTGAACTGTCCAAGAACAATGGTTTCAACCCGTGCATCCCCACCTCCATCGATGCATGGTCTGTATATGTGGAAACGTAACTCAGAAGCAGCTGCTTCATTGATGTCGGAAGTTCGGATAGAAATACGCCATCGAATAGAAGATGGAAATCCCAGTTGATGGCCATGGATTTCAAAATCATATGTTGTAAGCTACCCTCAACTGGGAAGGGTATGCCTGGTAAACGACGGAGCCGGGTGCCATCGTTAGTAACTTTGTATCTATCTTCAGAATCTTGGTTGTTCGGGACATCATTTGGGAGTAGCCAACTTGGAGGCGCAACGGGCCCGGGTGTTCTCCGAACCCTCCGCTCACCAACGGCAGGAGTACCAGGACGCGGGCGTGGTGGAAGAGTTTCAGGCAGCTCCAGCAGATTCCTTATCGATGGATGGACTGATCTGGGAGCCAACCGCGACGGACTCGCAGCAACCCTATCATGTCTCGAAACCTGTGTGCGACGGAGGTGATGGATGAGGTCGTTTACAGACTGCCAATTTTTGGTCCCTGAGTCACTACTCTTCGTCTGTGAACTCGCGCGAGACGTAAGAGATGGATGGACGGTAGAATGCGGCTTGGAAGTTGTTGATTTGGAGTGTTTCTTGGGCATAGGCGGCTATTGGCAGTTTTGGGTGTGTTGATGAAAGTAGTGGTGGTGATGGTGGTGGGGGTGAAAAAGATGAGTTGACATTGAAATGCCTAAGATCGCCACTGACTCAGGCAAGTCTCCTCAGGCAACAGGCCTTCACCACTGACGTTTAAAATAGTTGTAACTAGGTCGGAAATTATCAATATTATTGGCTTAGCGCTGGAGCACAATACGTACGTAAAATGAGAAAATAGTATTCTATGATGATGTATTACTAGCTATGGATAGAGTAAAACTAGCGAAATTGTGACTGAAATCTAATGATATAAAACAATAATATACAGGCACTTAAGCATCTCGAATCCATGATCCATCATCCATTTTCCCCTCGATTTTTGGCCCTTCACGCAGCCAAGTTTCGACTCTGCTCTCCTTTGGGTCTTCGTCGGGCAACCCTCTTGATTTTCGAACCGCGAGGACCAGATCTCGAATCCTCTTTGCACACTCGATGCGCAACTCAATAGCCTCCTTGCTATACTTGAGTTCGTCGTTCAAAACTCCAAGGGGAAGGACATCTTGGCCACCTTCGGCCTTCGCCCTTATGTGCTGCCATCGCCGTCTTAAATCACCAAACCGCTCCTCCAGGTCAACTGGATCGCCAAACGTTACGCTTATATTTTTGTTGACGCGGGGCAGGAATCGTGGGAACGTTCGATCCTCGTGCATGACTTGGTCAGTACCTTCAATCCACATTGGGACAACGTCGGGACACTCAGATGCCTCCAGAATCAACCGCGAGACACCCCATTTAAAATATCGCATTGTCTTGTTAGGTGCCTGATGCACTTTACCCTCGGGAAAGATGTGAATCCACGAATACGAATTACAAGCGTAAGCCGAAGGCGCGAGATGAGAATCTTCGCCTGTGGTAGTATATGCGGTAGCCACTTCTGAGAACGGATCAACGCAGACGTTCTGTAGACTCCAATACTGCCGACTAGCAGGCGCCATGTATGGTTCAGGAGAAAAGGGACCGCGCGATAGAAGACGAATTGCTTGTGTCATGGTGGGTTGGAAGAGGCCTCCGTACGAAGAATGAAGGCTCCGGTGAGTAGGCAAGACCTGGCCTAAGGTGAAAAATGCAGAAACAGCTCTATATATACCTTATTATCAGTTGCGTAATTCGTATAGTAGTTTACGTGACGCAGGAATATATCGAGGTTCGACAATATATCCGTCTTTACCTATTGCTGAAACATATATCGTGGCTCCCAAATGCCCATCTGCGGTTAGACGATTGGAATGCCCGTGAATTTAATAACGGAATTGTCCCCCACATCAAGGGGTCATCCATTCTGTTAAAATAAAATAAGGGTACGCCCTAATCAGCTCATGGAACCTTTGTTGTATTGCATAGCTGTTCTACGTACGTACACGCTTATATGATTTGACACTGTCTCAACCTCTTATATCAGCCACAGGAACTCTGAAATTTTATTTCTTTTAAAGATAACGCGCAGAAGTGCTGCCGATGGCATCTGCCTCAGGGCTGCGGTATTATTTCCATCCATACCAGTGATCAGTCCGCGGGTACGTGATTCCAGATCTGCGCGACTTTCCAGGAGCTTCAGAAATTTCTCGAGCCCGTGAACTTCTGTGTTGTTTGCAGTGTAGAGGAAAGCCCGGCACGCCGCTACGACCATATACATGGTCGCAGCCGAGCAACCCTTCCAGAAGCTGGAGGGGTGCTCCAGGGTGCCAGGGCTGAGGTGCATCAGGGCAATGCAATCAGCGCCTTTCCATTGAGAAGTTGCGCATAGGTATGGCGTAATATATGTATAGGGAGAAGCCTATGCTAGGGAGTAATAAAGAACAAAGGTGGTTAAAAAAGGTGTAGAGCTTCAAGTGATATAAAAGAAAAGGTTATTTTTGTGTCCGAAAAAGTCAGGTTTGGCGCAAGTGTCCCGAAAAGGAAAATGCACGGGCCACAAGCTTTTTCCCGCAAAACTTCTTTTTGATCCTTCAAAGAGGAATGCTCGGGATAAGCAGACAACGCAAGTATCGCTCATTGAACATTGAAGATGTTCAAGCCAACATCCCCTGTAATGGGGGGTCTTCTCTGGTATTGTGACTTCTTGACAAGCCCGCCGCATCCAATTGAACCCGCCCACTTCACACCTCAACCAAGCACCAACTAACTCAATCCCGTCGTCTATTCAAACAGGAAAATCCCCTGGCGCCTCTCTGCTCCCCAAAAAGCTCGTCAACGTAAACGGTTGCGGGCCGTCGATAAGGTTGTCGACACCGTCAGTGCCGCATTAGAACGGAATGGCATGACCAGCAAGGCTGTGACCCGGTGGTTTGAAGAAATGCCCCGCGAGGAGGAGATGCTGCCGAAGGATAAATATACGATCTTCGATCGGAAAGAGAAGAAGTACCGGAAGGGGATACACAGTATGCTTCATGCCGTTCTTTTGTTGCCGCTCTCTTTTGGATGATTTTGCTTCGCCTCAGTGTCCTTGGGTTTCGACATTAGTTTTATCTATTGCTTGGAGCCCAGGGCCCATGGATATATCCGGAAAAGCAGAAAGCAGAAGCAAAAATATTAGATTTGCTTCGCGACCCTCTTTTAATGTGCCAAACTGGCTTACATTTTCTGTAATGCCTGCTTTTTTGAACCACGTTGCTAACCAATCGGTGGCCCATCACAGAACTTCCCAAATGGACGCGAGTCAGCCAACGAGTCAATCCTCCGGGTTTCTAAACGCCCACACGTCTTATTCCATATCCGTATCGTTATATTCGTCCTCACGATGTACATGTACGTTATAGGTATCGATACGGATCGCGTTTGGGGCTGCTTAATACCAGCATTTGCCCTGGATCATACTTCATGCTACTTTCCCTACTTTTCTATCTAGAAAGGGTAACGAGGAGCGAAATAAGCCTTCATCTATATCATGTACTATAAATTTTAGAGTGTCATTTCCTTTCTTTATTTTGGAGTTTCATTTTTCTACCTCTTGCGATCTGTCCAAGTTAGGGGAGAACGGGCGAGTTTCAGTTTAGAGCGTATAGGAGTAATCGGTCAAATTTGATATTATGATGATCTTTATTGAGCTTCTCCCAGATACCCACTTCTATCTTATGTTGTTGTATGTGAGAGTCCTACAGAAGAAGGGTGTCCATAGACCCAATCGTCTAGAAGATCAAGGAATGATATTATTAGAATGCACAGTACTGCACAATACAAGATCCAAATATTCTAAACCGGACTGGAAAACCACAAAGAAACGAAAGTATTGGTATCAGCGTCCACCACACATTTCCAACAGCAACAACAAAGGCAATTAATTAAGCGCTCCTAGTATTCCTAGCTGACCGTCACCCTGTGCCCTGCTTTGGGTGATCAAGCGGAACATCCGCCTGCCGCTGTACCTCTACAGCTGCGGCGGACATGCAGCTGCCATCCACTGCACATGAACCATCCATTGGCGGATGGTTGTGTGCCGATTCTCCAGAAAAACCCCCAGTAGATCGCGAAACAGACAAGCAACTGTTCCCTGACGTGCCGAAAGCTAACCCTGCTATTGTTGGCCGCCTGTGACTATCGTCGTGCCGACGACGGCGCTGTCGCGGGATAGAGCCGCTCCCAGACATTACCTGTCTCATTTCGCTGGCGGCAGGTTGTTCCTCCCTTCGCTTCGCTTTCAGATGAGCACTCGGGTCTTGATTCCATATTTTCACCACTTTGCGATACGGTCCAATAGCTTTCCTTGCCACCTCCCTTATTCTCCGTCTATTGGCTCTCCCTTCGCAAATGATTTTCCGCGCCCGGTACGCTCGGCAGACGTTCTGCCAGTCTTCTAGCTTTTCCCACCATCCACCCATTCCTTCATAGTAGACCTCCCCTTGCTTTTTTGACCGTTCATATCCCTGTGGAGGTTTTCGAAGAATCCAGCTCGCGGGATCAAAGACAGCGTCTGGGGTTTCGTCTTCTGAGCCATCGAATAATTCTGCTGATTTTAAAAATTCTTTTACGCCTGTCGATTTCCTTGCTCCATTAACCGCCATTCTCCATGAATCTAGTCGGGGAGCATCTAATTTCACAAGGCCTTGAACTGGATATTTCTGCTTAACAGCATCCCCGTGGGGCTCAGTGAAGGGGCGATTGAACCTGGGGTCCCCATATGTCCTTCGCTCGGCAGGTGGAACTCTCGAAACAGGATCCAGAACAATCCAGGTAGCTCTGTTTAGCCAATGGTTGGCGAGCAACAGAAAATGGAACGGCTTGCGACCAGGCTCAACTTCACTTGAGAGCCATTCGAGTCGGCAATCTAGGTCGTAGATTAACTGGATTTCATAATCACTCAATCGAGACGGTGTGCTTTGCCATGGTTCCTTCCTTGGGTTCTGAGGGTATTTAGGGAGCTGGAATGAAATAGCCTTGTTCTGCATGGGATGAAGCGGTCGTCTTGCAGAGGTTTCGGCTTCTGCCTGAGATAATAATGGTTGTTGCTGGACATGTCCTTTGATTTGATTTATATTTTGGGCAAGAAGTGATCTGCCTCCGTCCATATTGCCATCCACAGAAGCGGTGTCTAGGGAAGCGTCGGAAGCGGCTGATACATGGACCCTTGGGGGAGCTCTACGTTGTATACCAGGGGCGAGCTGGGACAGCGTTGAGGGTCCAGAAGGGTTAATACCGCAGTCATGTTTATGCATTGGCATATGGCTATAATGATCCGAAAACTCGGAATAATGGCCCGAAGAGCTCATAGACTTCAGGATAGCGGATAGTGGACTGCCAGGTCGCCCAATCAGACCGTGAAGGCAAGGGGGGCTTTGCCCAAAAGTATGGATTTGCATTTTCGCGGCCCACGCCTTATATTTCCAACTAAGCGATTTTTCCATGGTTACCGCAGTTTGAGGACCACTGAGATCATTTTGCCCTTCGCCACAGGGTATGAATTTTCGAAGACGAGCGTCATACAGTGTTGGAAAAGGCGTCGAAGGGATTGCATTCCCTTGAGGGGCTTCCGAGACTGCCTTCCTGCGAACTTCGGGTGCGAACCTTATATCAGCAATGCTCAAACTTGGAGGAAGATGAGATAGCGAGGTGCATCGTCTTAATTCGGTATGCGGTAAATCAAGTATTGGTTTTTGTCGACTCCTCGTCCGAGAATTTAAAGCTGGATAAGGAGGAGCCTTTTTTGCAGAAACTCGAGTGAAACTATTATATAAGATTGATGGGATCATGTTGTCACTATGGCCATCTAAGAATAACGGTAGTCTACTGCGTAGTGGGCGCTTCCGAAACTTCACAACCTGTGACGAAATTTTCATCGAATGTCGCACCGCTGGCTTTCGCATCTTGTTTGCGTCTGGTTCACCCGTTCCCCGGCCCCTAGCATGGGCTTTTGAGATCAGGCCTACTTTTCGGTGTTCATGGCTTTTCAGCCAACGACGTAGCCAGCGAATCCCTTTTTGATCCTCGAAATGCTGCTTTACCGCAGCCCCCTTTGGATCCCACCACACCCAGTTATAATCAGCATGGGGCGATTTCCACGCTACCGATCGGCGAAATTTCTTGAACCGCTTTTGCCTCCGAGCTCTCTTCGTCTCGTGATCATCCAAAGGCACCCAACCGTGCCAAGTTTTCGCATAGCGAGTGGACTTTGGATTCCCATCCAAAATCCTATGCCTAGTGAAGTGGCGGAGAAATGCCCCAAATTTCCAGATATAAACCGTAAGTATGAAGATACAAAACGTAGCAATCATGAGCCATAGCAACGTTTTCCAGCGAAAGGAGCTTGATACTGGCATAGCTCCACCTAGAGGACCATTAGCCGGGCGAGGAGGTAGGACGTGCGTCTGCCTTATCTGAAGAGAGGGCTTATAAATAGGTGCCATATTTTTGCCGTAGCTTGGCCAACAACCCCGTCCTCTTGGACGTGACCTGTTTAGTCGAATTTCGCCAAGGACATACAGATTCAAGTACATGAATTTGTTAAGCCACAAACGCCAGAATCCATGGTCTAGGAATAGCATATGTTTTTATTCCTGATACGTCGAGAGAGCAAAGCGAAGCAACCTCTCTAGTGGGTTTGGACAGTCGATACGAAACGGAGGTATCAAGAGATACCTGATGTGATATGATGCATGAGTACTAGTATCGACAAGTGAGCTGACATAGATAGCCCTTCAACCGAGTTCGAAAGCTAGCCGATGCTGAGGACGATCTGGGCGCAAGAGGTAAAGGGGGCAATGACAAAATCAACGACAATCTCCTGATACATCCGCTTAGAGGCGATTGCGCGACATAAACCGTACGATTTTAGACATGTGCAATAACGGCGCATGCGCGGCAGTTAGGACACACGGTTGCACTCGACAAGGGGGAGTAGAAAGCGGCAAGACCGCATGAGCCAGTATGATATACTATGAATGAATGAATGAATGAGAGTAAACGATTGGCAGCACCCGTTCAGAACACGGGCTTGGAGAACATGTTGATATGTCTAGCCGGCGACATTGGTCCAGAGAAAGAGCCTCCTGCGACAGGACTGGGAGAATTCTGCCTTCCACGCCAATGCCCTCCAGGACACCGTGGAAGGGACAGTAGAAGCTGTGCAGTGGATGTCTTGCCCTGCCATTTGGAAAGGAGAGTTGAGGTTTCTTGTGCTCCGGCTATGTTCCGCCACGTCCAGATGTTGTTTGGAAAGATTTTCTTTGTAGGATCCTTCATATAACTACCAGACCCACCAGACTCTGCATATTTCGTTAAAAAGACCGTGATTGACAGAGATGAATTCCAAGGGAAAAAATTATGAACTTAAAGGCCTGATGGTTAGGGGAATTCTCCATATATCCAATTCTGCAAGTTTCTTTTTTGTGCTCAGTTGCGAAAGGGTTTTTCCAGCCGAATTATTGTGGCGGACGTAAAGCTTGCAAAAACAGAATTTTCTGCCACCCCCTGAAAAGTAGTAGTAAAACACTGCAAAAATAACCAAAATATCCACATATCTCTAGAATCATTCAAATATCATCCAATTCATTCAAATACACATCTTTATCATCAAATCTGTCAATATGCTCCCTCAGCTCAGCAAATTTATCATCAATAAAATTGTATATTTTCTAAACAATGATTATATATCTGCTCAGATTACACAGATCATTGAATATCATCTGATTACTATATATCAAATTCAATAAAATATTCACTGCTTTGAAACTGCTAGAAGTTCTCATTCAATATAAAATATAAAATCAAAGATCACATCAGATATCTTATCAGATTTAAAGGATTTTTTTGAGATATATTCAACTGTATATCACAATGAGACTGTCTGCTTTGTGAAGAATGAATTTGATATTGATATTTATTCTTAATTGATATTTAGATTATTGAAGAAACTGAATTTGACACAGAAAAAGATGATTAATTATTATAATTATTATTTATAGAATCTGTTAATTCATCAGTTCTATTTAATATAGATTGAATTTATAGTCACTCAATATAATAAAAAACTTCAAACTGAATAATATATTCAAATTACTCAGTATCAATCTGATCAATTTATATTTTTAAATAAGAGTACTATAAATAAATATACTGCAGATCAATAATATAAATAATTAAACAGAGAATTCTTTTATTATATTAAAAGACTCTGTAAATAATCTCACAGATAATCAATTTTATCTACAATAAATATCAATAAATATTTTAATTATAATATATATCAAAGATTCTATAATACAGAGAGATTCAATGAGTTTGTATATATTCAAATACTGCTCAAATACTAACAAAATTATTACTATTTAGTGATGAATAATTACTTTTTTTATTATTTATAAACACTGTAAGATCTCTGCAGAGAAGCTGATATTAAACTTTTATTCTTATCTTTATATTTTTCTGATTATAATTCTATAGAGAAGTTATTTTATATATTGAAAGAATGAATTAGAAGATATAGATGTCAGTTAGAGAATCAGTTTGATGAAGATTTTAAAGTTTTCTTATATTATATAATTAAAAACTTTATAAAAAAAAATATAAGAGAATATTTCAGATCTGCTTATATAGAATAGTATTGTAAAATCTAGAAAGATTCAGATTACAATTCAATTATAATAATATATAATATCTAAGTTTCAAATTCAGAAATAGAAGCAGTATGAGATCTGCTGTTATTATTATAAACAACAGATAAAGACAATTTAATCTTCTTCAATCATAACTGTCAGATAGAACTCTTTAACTCATTTTTTATTATTGAAAATATACTCATTTCAATATTCAACTAAATCATCTATTTATTTGTTATTATTTATATATAATTCAGTTTAAATTCTTTATTCTGAATAATATTTTTTACAGTTAAAAGAGCTTCTGCTCTTCAAAATCTCTCTATTATTAATCAATTGAAAAACTTATCAATAAACAGATTTATATATTTATCAAACTGAGAGATTGAACTATTTCAAATAGAAGATAGATTTGAATTTAATAGTAGATTTAAATTCAACAATAGATTTAAATTCAATAGCAGATTTGAATTCAACAGCAGATTTAAATTTAATAATAAATTTGAATTCAATTCTTTTATATCTTCTATTTCTTTTATTATATATTTGTAACGGGCGTGCCACCGATTAAGCAGATGTTACCGATGTTGCAGATTAAACCGTTCGTACCGCCTGCGCAGTTCGTACGATCCGTTCCAACGGCAATATCAACGGACTTGACACTATCCTGATAACAGTTTACGAATCGATTAAGGAAAGAAAGAGAAAGAAGATCAGAAGAAGGGGTCGTACGAGGGGGTTCTTATAGGCAAGGGGATCGGAGCGGAAGAAATATCGGAGGTCGCGCTCTGGGGGAGCGCGGGGCGGAAGAATCGTTAGGGTGTTAAGATGTGCGCGATTGTGGGGCGGAATCGCGAGGAGGCGTGGGAGAACTTCATGAGCGCGCGTGAGCACGTGAGCGCGCGGTAGGGGGTTGGTTGCGTAAGTTAACTACCAACGGGTGCTAACCCGTCACATTATCCCCCCCTACTGGGGCGAGCGAGGATTCGTAGGCGTCGAGTGCAGCAGTGTCCTTCATGGCGGGCGCGGGTTCCCAGGTTGGACGATCGTATCCTACCCATTTGACAAGATATTCGCGGCGGCGACGGCTGGTTCTGTCGTCGAGGATTGCTTCGATTTCCCATTCGAGTTCATTGTCTTCTCCTACGATGGCAGGTGGTTGCCAGTTGGAGGTCTTCTGCGAGGGGAACGGGTCCTCGGCCGCGGGTCGGAGCAGGTTCGTATGAAAGACGTCGTGGATGCCAGGCGGGGTGTTCAGTCGATAGTCGTGGGTGCCTAGCACTTCTGTTACCGTATATTTGGCGTGGCGGTAGTCCAGCGTACGCGAAGGGCGGTCCGTTTTTATGTTCTTGAGGTCCAACCAGACCTTGTCCCCTATGCTGTAACGGGTCGCAGGACTCCTCCTGGTGTTCGCTTGGTCTTCGTAGTCCTGTTGAGCACTAGCCATCGAAGCTTCGGCCCATTCGCGGGCTTTCTTGAGCTTGCTGACTATGTTCTCTGCTGCTTGCACAGGGCTGCGGGCGTACGTGGTCTCTCGGGGGGTCTCAGGGAAGTCCAGAATCTCTAAATCATAACCGTGTAGGAGGAAGAACGGGCTTACACCTGTTGTAGCAGAATCTCGGCCGTTTATGGCAATCTCAGCGTGCGGCAGCAGGTCGCTCCAGTCATCTTGCGCGTAGTTGCAGAACTTTCGGAGGATGTTCTTAACTGTCTGTATCATCCTCTCAGTAGCTCCATCAGTCTCTGGGTGATACGCTGTCGACAACTTTCGCTCGATTCTCAGTAGCTGGCATACGCGAGTCCAAAGTGCGCTCACGAACTGACTGCCTCTATCTGATACAATGGATGAAGGCAGGCCGTGCATACGATAGAATGGACTCCTGACAAAGGCGTCCGCGACAACTTCAGCGTCCATCTTGTCGCAGGGCTGCAGTATTACGCCCTTGCTAAGTCGATCGACAATGACTAAGACATTCGTAGAACCTCCACTTTCGGGCAAGGAAACTGCAAAATCGATGGCTATATCACGCCAAGTTCGCTCGGGGACAGGTAGGGGCTTCAGCATTCCTTTTCGGCGTTCGCGCCATGCTGTCACTGAGCCGCAGCGATCACAGTTGCGTACGAACCGGCGTACGTCCTTCGACATATCCGGCCAGTAGAACTCTCGGGCGATGATGCTGTACATGATTTCGCGCCCTGGGTGCCCGGTCATTGGTGAGTCATGAATTTCTTGCATGATCCGTGTTCGTAGGGGTTCTGAATCGGGGACCCATCGCCTGTCTCGAAAGCGTAAGCAGTTGTCATCATCGATCGAGCATGCTGAGATGTCCGTTCTTGGGTATACGCCTGCGGGGAATCGGGGTGCTTTGCTTCGTACAGCTTCGGCAGCCTGTTGCCAGGGTTCGTCCGCTTCTGCCGCTTGTCTCCATTGCTCTTCGAGTGAGGGGTCTTGAGTTCGGGACTGGTTAACGCGTACGTGGGGTTCATCTGGTTGCGTGGGACTCTTTATGATCGCGGGGTCGATTAACCGATGCTCTCGGTGTTTCCACCTGTCATCCAGATCGTCAGATGGCATGTCTTGTTCTCGGCGGGACAGGGCGTCCGCAAGGGTGTTCTCTACTCCTGGTCGGTAACGGATTGTGAACGAAAAACGGCTGAGGAACAATGACCAACGCATATGCCTCTCGGTGAGCTTACGAGTGGTTGTGAAGTACTCCAGGTTCTTATGATCGGTGACAATTTCAAACTTCTCGACGCTCATGAGTTCGGACTCCCATTCTTCAAGGCATCGTATGATCGCTAGGAGCTCCTTATCATAAATTTCATAGTTGCATTCAGCGGGCGACATTTTCTTCGAGGTGAAGGCACAGGGTCGCAGAACACCTTCGTTATCGTATTGCATCAGTGCCCCGCCTACCACGTAACCTGAGGC